AGTCGTCTCGATGCTTAGCCGGAACAGACAGACAAATTAAAAATTGTGTTTTTCTTATATGTACCGTACATATATACTTTCATAAGCATTTAGTAAAAAGTTGTTATTTTGACATTACAAATTCAATTTTATTTCTCTGTATAGATTATTATTACTAATTAAAACACTTGACAGATAGCATTATGACAATAAACGTATATTCCAATTAGTGAATGGCGTTACTAATAACAATAAAGCACTTAAAAGGGGTTTTATTTAAATAGATTAATTATCTATAGGTGCTTAGAAATTATAGGCGAGTGCTTGACTAATATATAATAATAGAAATACTCTTTAATTAAAAATTAAAAAATCCCTCAACACTGAAGGGATTTTCTTTATTTATAGCTTAAAGAATTTTCTCAAACAAATCACTTTAAAAAAAACTAAATTGAAATCGGTTCATCCTTGTAGGCGCTACGATACCACAGACAGACACACAAATAAACTCATAATACGCCTTTTTGCGTCGAGAGTTGAAAAATCATATATTGTAGACGTCTCATTATTACTTACATCTTTAGTACTTCGCCTTTGTTACCTATGCTCGAATCGAACCTATGACTTTCAATTAGTTAAATACTGTAACAATAACGTTAAGGTTTTATAAATAGAAACACATTGTATCGGTGAATAGCATCTTTTCTTATTCTAATATCATATTTAAAATAATATATAGTTGACTAATATAAACCGACCACTATAAAAAGGCACCTATATGTCATCCAAAACGCCGTAAAGTCGGGCCAAATTAAAGTGGTCGCCACTATGTATGGTAAATCAAACACATCTAAATATCTTACAAATACATATAGTATTTAATCTTAGCACTAACTTAACTAATATTTACATTTTATTCTCATTTTTTCCATACATTTATTGATATTGTTGTCGTCTCATCCATTCCGATACAATTCTTCATACATCCATGTTGCAAATTATGTGTTACTATATATATAGCCGCACATATTTGAACGTTCTGGATTTTAATTAAAATTACAAAAAAATGTTGTTAGGAAACATAATAAATAAAAGTTTAATTTTTATCTATGCAAAATACGAAAAAAAACTGATAAAAAATTGATTGATGATTAAAGAAATCTAAATTTAACTACTAAATATATCCAAAAGTTCAAATATGGCGGATGTTGTTAGAAAAAAAAACAATATTATATCGATAGTTAGTAGGCATCTTAATTAAAAAGAAGTTACAACCCAAAAAGTCCATTCTACGGTTCGATCACTTGTGCGTAGGCGCTTATATAAATTCGTGCTTTACACAAACGTGCAAAATTATTAATAAATAATAATAATAATTAAATGGTAAAATAATATGTAAAATAGTTGAGGAAAATACACAAAAAATTTGATCACTGAAGCCATCATTTTCCTGGTAGTCATTATAATTTTTGATAGAAATAAATTAAAATATTTCGTACAAATAATTTAAAATCATAATTTATTATATATTGTGGTATAGTTACTAATAATATTCCGCTTTTGCTACTGATTCGACTTCGATTCGACTGAGATTCGACTTCGTATTATCACAATATATATAGAAAAATAAATGAACGGTCCTCAAAATTTTATATGTAATGTAGGTATTAGTGATGTAACGAATGTTCGATTTATCACATTCGCGAATGTTCATCTCCAATATTCGCGAATGCGAATGTTGATTTTCAAACAAAGCGCGCAAAATGTTAAACAGACAGGCTTGACATTTCGTGTCGGCCATGTTAAAACAGAACATAACCGATACAGGTTGAATGAACGAAGTTAGTCACATAGAGTTCGTTCAAAAAGATTTGTTGTGATGTGAGGTTAGTTCAGTATTATTGCATTTGTCAAATTTAAGTAATACCTAGTCCAATTGACAAAGTCATATAAAAACATGAGTAAAGCAGTTGTATTTTCATTCGGCCGTTCATTCCTTATATAATTTCCTTTTTGTTTGTCAAATACATTTGCCAAGCATTCGCATCGTTTCTTGCCAATACGAATGCGAATGTCAAAAACCTTGCGAATATTCGTTACATCACTAGTAGGTATGTATATAATAATATCGAGTTGAATCAAGATGGCGTTAATAGCTTCTATTAGACGATCCAAAATCGTTGTGGTTCTTATCATTGAATGTAATTAAGTATGTACTATAAAAAAAAATTATATAATTAATATAAAAACGCCTTGCATTTTGTATGTGAAAGTCATGTGTGTATGTATGGGATGTAATATAACATGAAATCTCTTTTATGCATAGTTTATGGCACGCTTAATTTTGAATGCTATGTTTCCCCTCTTTTAATAAGTAATAATAAAATATTTAAACGAAATTTTAGACCTTAATACATAAATAACAAGAAATCAGCGCCATTTTGGAACTATTTACGTAACGCATATATTGCTAAGACGGGAAACACCATCTTGACTCAACTATTTTTTTATACTCATATGTATAAAAAAATAAGCCACCATCGTTACATTTCCGGAATATTCTTTTATAAAATCGAATACAATTTAGTTCGTTCACATCATTCATTTCCATTCACTCATTACGAGCGTATATACAAAGCCAATCTCACCCACGATCCTGTACAAAAATAAAGGACACACACATTTACCGAATAACTATTTTTCATATTATATAATTATATTATATATACAATGGCTAAAAGTCACTAATTCAACGTATTGGTGTTACCGTTTCATCGTCACTAATATTATCTCTCCATTTTAATCTAAAGTATAAAATTTTCCACTCAAATTCCAACATATGAATACTGAGCGTGATTAAGTAGATAAGTCGAGACAATAATACATATTATTTATTATATAAATGCTGCAGAAAAGGTCACATAAATAATAATTTAGAAAACTATACACGTCTAATAGCTTTTATTAAAAAATAAAAACTAATTTCAAATCTTTTGAATAAACCCAATATCAACGTGTTTAGGCGAAGAGAAAACAATTATTTCACTTTTTGCTATATAACAACAAATTTAGTCCTTACTGCGCATGAGGTCACAGGTTCGACGCCATACAAAATCAATGTAATTGTGCTTGACGTAAAAAGACAAAAGTATAAAAACATGGACGAATCTATCTATCTAATCCCATAAAGAATTATATCACTTATATTAACCATAGACAAAACCAATATGGCCGTCCCAACTATACTTCACTTATCAACTTACACACGCGCAGTACGAATATATTTTGCTATAAAATGAAATACGCACACGCTTATACATCGTAATTATTGTACAGGCACAAATGAAGGTTATGCCCTAAGCATTCTACGTTTACATACAAAATGAGCGAGGATTTCGTCCTACTTCAATTATCCATACCACTACGACATCTGACTTTACACGGGATACGTTACACGACCAAAGCACAACGAATATAAATTTAAAAAAATCTGTCAACTTCAAATAAACGTCAACTGAAATAAAAAAAAGTGAAATGTCAAAATTTGACATCAGCTGTCAATTGAGTTTTGACTTAATGTTAAAAAATGCATGTTCTAACCAAACAACTTATCGCCATAGAAAAATTAATAATATATCGTTACAATAACAACTATGTAATATGTAGAACTATTAAAATTAAATGTATTTTATTCACAATTGTGAAAAGAGCTTGTTGATAAAATTTCTATCCCGCTAAATATAAATGAATGAAAGTTTTTATTAATGAAATTATATGAATATTAATATCGAAAAAAAATGTAAATATGTATATTTTTTTTTTAAATGTAAATCACAAAGTATAAAAATGTATCTTATTTACATGTACCTAGTATCCAGTATATAGTCACCTCGGGGTTTTACAATTATTATAATAACCCCCCTCCACATACCTCCTCAATAAATATTTTTTATTATTTTCATTGATATTTTAACATATTGTAGGGAAGTACATACATTTAACATTTTTAACATCAACAATTAAAAATATAAATTAAACGAGTCGCTAAAACGCGATACAATCGCAATATTTTGCGATTCTTACATACCGCAAAACGCTTTAATTTATTATAGAACCATTTAAAACTGTTAAATGTACGTGACCCTAAATGATCACATTTTAAAAACTAAACGAATGAAAATTTGAGTGAACGGTTTCACGAGAAAATAATAAAAAAAAAACAAATACGCATAAAATATCAATGATTATAAAACAAACAGACAAACACTTCCAAAATGAGTCTCTTTCTATTATACGAAGCTGCCGTTCGCTGAAAGCGAAGAATCGACGAAAAATCCGACAATACAGTCGAGATTTAAGTATAAACATAAAACTATGATGCAATAAACATTTGAATTTAACGAAAACGTTATTAATTTTATATAATTATACATAATATAATAAATACAGCTAGGTGGTTTAAATTATATTTTTCTGGCCTTCATGTATAGAATTTAATGTAATTTTGACGAATGACCTAATATTAGTAGGAATTCAAGCGTTCGCTTGCTAATGCTATGAGTCCGAGCCCCCGTCGAAGCACTTTCTAGGGGCTATTCGGGCAGGGAGCCCCTCTTTCACCTGCAAACGACATTATATGTTTGTTACAAATGAATTTAGAGTTATTTTTATTATTTATGTTATTAGTTATAGTTAAAATCAGTAAGCAACATGTGAATTTATTACTTGTTATAGCGGTAGTCTGTGTAATGACAACGGTGATACGTGACGATAGTATTATATGACGATGGTTTTATTTGACAATGAGAGTATGCGATAGTGGTAATGTGTGACGTGACGTGGTGATATGTGATGGTTGTTGTAATGACGAGTGACAGTGGTCGCACACAATTCGAGCCCCAGTCGTCATTAACACACTGGAGCGCAGCTTGGAGGAAAGTATGTGATGTGTGATGCTCGCTGTGATATCGAGTGATAGTGTCAGTGTGACAGTGACAGTGCGATGACAGCGGGCGCACCTAATCCGAGTCGGAGTCGTCATTAACACTGGAGCGCAGCTTGGAGAGCGTGCGGCGCGCGGCGGGCGTGCCGTCCTCCTCATCCGACGAGATGACGATGCGCTGGCGCGGCTTCACGCCGGTGGCGCCGCGCGTCATGCGGCGCGCCGGCGTCGCCGAGCTGGACTCCGACCCGTCTGGAGGATCACACGCTAATATTGTAGTCTTCTATCAACAATACTACAGGATAACGTGTCACATACAAATTCAAATCTAAATTCTATCCGCGCCAATATGTACTTATGCAGCTACTTTTGTATACTAACGAATCAAGACAAAGTCTTATAATAGTTTTATTTTCAACCCAATCAACACGTACAAGGTGCTATGGTGTTGATTTGGAGAGTAACATATTATGCTGCATTTTACCGCCGAGAGATTATCTCATCCGCACGGGAAAACACGTTATAATACTCACATACCTTTACTAATATTATAAAGAAGCACTATGTTAGTTTGTTTGAACGCGCTAATCTCAGGAACTACTAGTTCGATTTGAAAAAATCTTTTTGCAAGTAGAAAGCAAGAGGAAGGCTATATATCATCATGCTACTACCCAAGGGAAGGGAGTCGTAATATAATATATAGTCTATCTATTCCATACTAACCGTTAATATATACCTAGGGACGCATCCGAGCGAAGCGAGGGTAGTTCGCTAGTTTGTAATATTATTTATGCAGCCCACATAGAAATAGCGGTTAATAAAACTTATAATCTGGACAAACCTTCACTGTCTTTATGCTTGGCCTTGGCCTCCTTCTTGGCGAGTTTCTCCTGCTCCTTCTTATCCATCTTGGCTTGTTTGAGAGCTTTGCATTTCTCTATTGTGGGTTTACCTTCCAAGCCCGCCGCCACTAACAGCTCTAACATTTTAGCTACACGCTCTTTGTTTTTTGTGCAACCTGAAATAATAAAAAAACAAATTAAAATTTAAATGGACAGTTCATTTGAGAAAATATATCATATAACTCAGAACTATTACATTTTAACTAGCATTAAAGTATTGAATTATTCAATTAACCATATTGAAATTGATCAATTTATTTGAAAGCTGAATGCCATTGAAGCTAAAATATGACACCACAGATGTACAGATATCAAAATTATTATCTCCCCTAAAGTTTAGAAGACTGTATAATTAATTACCATCTATAAAACAATTGCCTAATACAAATAATATTAAAAAAAACTAACCAAGACCACTTTCGTACAAATTCAAACCAAGCCGTATACTGTACGACCTTTGCCACACTCAAACGTCACAAACAAAAAATAAAATTGGAAAAGTGCGAGTTTGACTCGCACGCCGAGGGTTTCGTAGCATGAGACATAAAAATGAGTTTATAATCGCAAAAAACAAATTTGTGTTAGTGTTACTACACGATTTTGGGAGTTTTTTCTTTTAATTATGCTATAAGACATTGCTTCTTGTCAAATTTCATGATTCTAGGTCAACAGGAAGTACCCTATAGGTTTTGATTCCCTTGCGAGTGTCAAAATATGCGGTATAAAAAGCCGTATCTTTGGATTGCGTTACACGTGTACCTTAGCAAAAGACACTTGACAGACAGACAGACAGACAGACAGACGGCCAAATGTAGTAATCCTATAACGGCTCCATTTTCTCTATTGAGGTACGGAACCCTAAAAAACATAAACCATCAGCCAGCTCACCTTCAACGAGTTTCTTATAATCGAACCGTATGCCGGCCGCCTTGCAGAACTTCTTCATGTCGGTGACGCCGGGCTGGCGCAGCTCGGGCGGCACGGGCGGGCGGCCGCGGCGCCCCGGCGTGCCGCCCGGCGTCACCGGCTTGGGGCTGCTGCTGTTCTTGGAGCCCTTAGGCCGGCCCGGACCGCGTTTGAGGGGCATGTCCTGGAAGGGGGAATACATATGAAAAGAATGTTTTAATAACTTTTATAGCAAGAAGTGCTTTACATGCGTATCCATACTAATATTATAAATGTGAGAGTGTTTTTGTCCTTTTTTCAAGTCGAAACTGGAAGAGATATTTGAAGGGCTGGAAAGTGACATAGGCTACTTTTTACCAAGAGAGATCATCTCATTTCCACGAGAAAACAAGTTATAAAACAACTCACAACAACTCATCATAGCTATATAGATTTATAATATATAGTTTATCTTTTCCAATGCCAAGCGTTAAAACCTTTATTCTATACATGTATAATAATATTGTAACTAAGCCGAATCTGTACATTAAATATTTTTTGGAAAATCTGATTGAAATAAACATATCGATACAGAGGCCTAATCTAGTTTTTAGAATTTTTGTCTGTCTGTCTGTCTGTCTGTCTGTTACCGCATCATAGAAAAACCACTGGAGGGATTTTGATGCAATTTGGTATGGTGATAGCTAGTTATCCGGGTCAACATATAGGATACTTTTTACCGTGGAAAAATATTTCGTTTCCGAGAAAAAATACAAAAACTGCAATGTAATAATATACTAATATGTAAAACCTAAAAATTCGATTTTTGGTCATCTGAACGCAGGCGGAGCCGCGGGCAATGCTAGTATTATATACAAGCATCGCTACAGTTTGGTGATTTTTTTATAAGTAAAAGACAATTGAAAAGTTAAACTGGAGACCATTCCTTAACCTGACTTTATATTGGCTTTGCTATATCCCATCATGTATATGGAAAAAATGTCTGGAGAATAACAGGGAAAAATATTATTTTACCTTACCACGAAACGACCTAAATAAAAAAAGTTCCTTATTAAACTCTCAAATATTTATTATATCTACATATTTCACGTATGGCATCTATTTCATGTATATTTCAAATTTGATTTAAAATTCACTTCTAGATCATAATAAATAAATAAAAAGACTTACATCATCGCTCTCTTCTGACCCGCTTTCTTCAGAACCTGACGAATCGTCTGATGATGACGAGTCCACTGTCGTGACCTGGAGGGCGAAACGAAATAATGTAAAGAGTAAAGACACAAATAAATCTTATAATATGCAAAATCTAAATTTATACTTAATACAATAGAGAGATAAAGTTTGTATGTAGTACAAAAATTCTTTCACTACTAGAAAGCTACACTATCCCTGATTTAAAGAAGAAGAAGAAGAAGTTTTCAGTTTTAAATGTTAATATTTGCAAATTAAATCAGAGTAAAATGCGCTAAATAGCCATTTTACCGGCTAGCGCTGGCCAAATCGTTGACTGTATATGAAGGACCTGACCGTAGCGAAGACGAACCGCTACTATAATACAAAAAATAGTTCAAAATCCATCATATTCATGATCCACCAATAGTACAAATTGAATGATATCAAGAACAGGAGGCATATAAATAAAACATATTTCAAAGATTACATGATGTAATTGATCGATATATGTTCTTTGTGTGTAAGTCCTCCATAAAAACACATACAATTAACTGCAGAACAAAAAACCTAAATAATAAATATATTTTCATGTGCGAGTCGTATCATTTTCTTAATATTCCAATATTGACATTTTTGAATCGTCAATTCAATTCATAGTCAGTGCGTACTACTGAGTAGCAAAATACATAACACATTTTCTTTCAAAGCAACTGATGAATGTTGTGTATGATAGGAGCTATGATGTAAGGAACTTCGAAAGAGCTAGGTGTCCACTTAAGATTTCATTATATAACGAACCCCCAATATGCGTTCAACTTGCCGGTGAGCCTCACATAACCACCTGTATACATGCACTTGTTATGCAAAAATGCATTTATTTCCCAACGATAAAAAAATTAATAATTGGTTTTCTGTAAAGTCGGTTTACGGACGATAATTTTACGTGAAAACGTCATAAGAAAACATTGATGAAAAATAGCAAACTTTTATGAAGTGAATTATTATCACTGAATTATAATTATTTTGTATAGTACAAAGAAGGGAGTTAATTGAAAATTACAATCTTTTCGTTAAATTAACATTTATTTGCACTTAATTTAGTTTAGTTAACTCAAATATTTTTTTGCTTAAATTATACAGATTAATAATTACAAGTAACAATGTGCTATTAACCATTTATTTAGAAATTATATATATTTTTTAATAATCAAAGAACAAATATATAAGATTATATCGCTAATCAAATTCTTAAAATGCAAGAATTAATTACCTTTTTTGCCGCAATTGTTGTTGTAATAAACAATGGAAACCACATTAGCTTTCCACTTCACATTATGAACAGTTAACAAAAGAGTTCACGTGTAGGTTGTGTGCTGCCGCTGTCTCTCTTCTACTCGGACGCATCAGCCGATGGAATGGAAGAGAGCTGCGTCACAAGCCGAACGCTCAGGCCGATCGTGCCTCTCTATCGCTTGTTCCGCGCTCTCGCTCGCACGCTCGGCTCAGGCGGAATGTGACACATTGGTGCGTGCAGCCGGCGTTTATCGATTTATAAGACGTTATCGCGTCAAAAGGTGGTATGCCCAAACACATTTGCCAACAACAATAAAAAAAAAGAAAAAACCCCGCAACCCACCTCCGGGCACACGACGCCCGCGCCGCCGCCCGCGACGCCCGCGCCTCGCATCTTGACCGCGTGCAGCTTGGCCTGCGCCGCCTTCTGCGCGGCGATGTGCGCCGCCTGCGCCGCCAGCCGCTCGCGCTCGGCGTGCGCGTCGTAGTAGTTGTGCAGCACGGACAGCGGCACCGGCACGTCGCCGAAGTACACCTCGTTGGGGATGTGCGACGAGTCCAGGCAGTCGTCGCTCCATCGCCTGCGAGACCGCGTATACAAACAATATACATACATACTCTCTCATTACTCAATACATTTCTAAAATTTTACATACTCACACACTTGTCACTAACATATATCGTACTAACTCACTCATCACTAACATCTATGTATTGTACTCATTCGCGCATCACTAAAGTTTGTCATACTGACTCACTCATAACTAACATTTCTCATACTTATTTATTCACTTATCTAAACAAAAAAATATAATCAAATAATAGCTAATCCACGCATTATTTGAGAACGGCTATACCGAATTTAGTAAGTTTACTTTAAAAAATGTTCGTAAGAATTCGAAAAATATAAGGGATAATATCGAGAAAAAATTCGAAGTTTTCTTATCTATACATATAATAAAATTGTAACTAAGCTGAATCTGTACATTAAATATTTTTTGGAAAATCTTATTGAAATAGACATTATTATCGATACAGAGGTCGAATCTATAGTTTTTAGAATTTTTGGCTGTCTGTCTGTTACCGCATCATAGAAAAACCACTGGAGGGATTTTGATGAAATTTGGTATGTTGATAGCTGGCTATCCGGGTCAACATATAGGATACTTTTTACCGCGGGAAAATATCTCATTTCTGAGAAAAAATACAAAAACTGCATTGTAAGAGTATACTAATATGTAAAACCTAAGAATTTGCTTTTTGGTCACCTGAACGCGGGCGGATCCGCAGGCAATGCTAGTTCTTAATAAAAGTGTTTTTTTTACGAAAAATATTCTTTACATAACACAATTAAAATAATCATTCTTTACACTTTATCATCCCAATGTTCTCTATCAATCAGTCCACTCCTTTCACTCTCTACCCACCTCCTAAACTGTATCCCGGAGAAGTCCTTCCGGAAGGGTCGTATCGCATACTGGTAGCCGGGGGCGCGCGGGCGGCCCACGGGCGCGGGCGGGCGCGGCGGCGGCGCGCGCGGGCCGGGCGCGGGCGAGCGAGCTGGAGCGCCCGGCGGCTTCGGCTTGTTCGTCGACCCCTTGGGACGACCGCGCTTTTTTGGCTGTAAGATCATTATATGTATAAATATTATATAATAATTAATAATTAATAATAATAATATGTAATTCTTTATTTGTCATCACAAACAAATTAGTACATACATCAATATTAGAGATCTTAGTTTAGCATAAGAGGCCATTCAAGTCGTATATAAGCACCAAAGAGGAGGCGGAGGTGTCTTTGTTTTGCTTATTTTTGATGACATGGGAGAGGGATGGATGATGATTACATCAGCAATATTATTTATTGAAAATAATTAATTTAAATATCGCAGATTTTAATCGTGACGAAAAACATGCTCAGAGATTCCTCAAAATAATTATTCACGTACCTATAAGAGGGGGGAGTAAGAGCTTTGCTTACTTTTACTTACAAGGGGGAGGGAGGGATTAATAATTCTGCTTACGTAATATTTGAATGGCTCCTAAGCTGGTTGTTACAAAATTTGGTTGTGGATCGCTAGTCTATACAGATAAATAAAATTGAAGTGTCTGTTTGTAATGTCAAAATAACAGCATTTTACTAAATGCATATGAAATTATATACGGTACTTATTTATAAGAAAAACACATTTTTTTAAATTTTTGTCTGTCTGTTTGTTTGTTCCAGATAATCTCTGAAACGGCTGGACTAATTTTGACAGGACTTTCACTGGAAGATAGCTGATGTTATAGGGAGTGACATAGGCTACTTTTATTTTAGAAAGAAAGATGGAGTTCCGCTCAAAAAAATGAAAACATACATATATAATAAGTTTTAAAATACAATATTCCTTAAAAATAAAGGCAGTTTCGCTTATAAATCAAAGTGTTCAATTGTTTTATTTATTTATTTACTTCTTTTTACACATTGTATCAATTCAATGATCACTTGTGTACGTCAATTAGAAGACTTAAACTAAAGCTACGAGCACCTTAATCGTGCATTACAATCTATACTGATATTATAAAGAAGCAGTTTGTTTGTTTGTTTGAATGTGTTAATCTCAGGAATTATTAATCCGATTTGAAAAGTTGTTTTTGCATTAGGTGCTACTACCCAAGAAAATGGAACAGTAATCATAAATGTCAACAAATCGGGCAGACTTCCATACATCATTGTAAATAATATTATCATAGATTAATGATTATATTATATTTTTGGTTGTGGTATGATTATATTATAATGTGGTTATAATTCTATATAGCTAAGCATATATATGTGTTATGATTTGGCAAAGAATTTGACTTATGTCGACTGAAATATAATTAAAAAATGTAGTTGTAACAATTTTTTGGAGAATTAGGACCAAAACTTATAGTTGTATATTTTTGACCTTATCCAATAGATTACAAAAAAAAGCAAAGTACTAAATTCTAAATATTATAAAAAGCAAGTCATTAAAATAAGTAAACCAAATATAAAAAAATTGCTTACAAAAAAACACGAAATTTAAAAAATAAAAACTAGTCGTATTTTTTTTTCTAAACAATTTCTTCCCTTTCCTTAATATATTTTACAACAATTTTAAAACTGATTAAAATTATAGTTTATCTGTCCTGGATGGTAAATAATAAAAATGACAGATATTATTGAGTTTTATGAATGTACTATGTAAGGGCTTACCTCTAGCCCTGGTGTTATTTTCCCTGGAGTCATGCCTGGCTTCGGACCTTCTGGACTGCTGAAAGGTTTTCTGTCATCTTCACTGTAAACAAATAATTTAATTTAAGAAATCCCCTTAAGTGCGAAATTTTGGATGGATGTTTGTCACTCAATCACGCCAGAACGGCTCTAGATGAAAATTGGCACAGAGATAGATTATAGTCTGGAATAGCACATATGTTACTTTTTATCCGAGAATAATGTACGGTTCCCGTGAGATTCATTTGTTTTTTTCACTAGGGACGAACGCGCGCAAAGCAAATGTGAGTTGCTAGTTTAATATATTTTGAAAAGAATCATATAAGATACAAGTCTGAAATAAATCTCAAGATATTTTTAAAGCACTTGATGACGAAATAGTAAAAAAAAGTTTTTTTCTGAAGTTATACTTCTTTTGGCATGTTTGGAAAAAAATGAGAGTAAAATTTTTACGATGCGCACGCACACCGACAGCCAAAAAGCGACATGGTGAAGTTGCAGCTAACTTCCTTTTACAAACAGAGAGTTGTGACATACGAGATGAGAATTGAAATCTTTAACTATTTTTTTATTTTATTTTATTTTAACTTTTTTCTTTTTCAAATACGTAACCTGTGCTTCATTAGTTGTTAGTGCAAATAATAATGAACAATAACAAATATTATAATAATTACCTTTTATCTGAAGGTATGGCTGATGGGTCTTTTGGATGTAACTCTTTACCAGGTTCTGTGAGACCTTCGGGCTTGCCTAGTTCTGGGAGTGAAATTATTTCATTATTAAACAGACAGTGAATAGGTATATATTATATTTATTTTATACTAGAGACTTATTCTCGCTTCACTCGGGTGCGTCCCTAAGTACGTTTTAATTTTTTAAGCGGAACCCTAATTCTTTTCCTAAAATAAAAGTAGCTTAAGTTACCGCTTATAACATCAGCTATCTGCCAGTGAAAGTCCCGTCAAAATCAGTCCACCCGTTTCGGAAATTAGCCGAAACAAACAAACAGACAGGCAGACAAAAATTTTAAAAATTGTGTTATTCTTACTAAATAAAACTATCTTTTCGGATTATTTCGCGGATTTATTTTGATTTTTGGTTCCCGACGTTTCGAATGCTTTACAGCATCCATGGTCACGGGAGAGACTGAGGTGTTACATGTCTTAAAGATATAGTTGTTACAGACAGCCTACCCACAATTAACAAAATGAAAATTGCACCAATTACATTACAATATTTTTAACTTTAAACATTTTTTATAATTTTAATTATAATTGAATATGGAAAATTATTTATTTAATTTTTGTTATTATTTTTATAATTATTACAATTTTAAAAATATTAATTAGTAATCTATATTTAGTGTTGCCATTATTATATTTATAACCATAAATAAAAATATAAAAATATAGTATTAATTATTAAAGCCATATAATTGTTCTATGTGTAATTTAAAAAGTTAAAATTAATTACGGATAATCATTTTAATTTAGTTTGCTATTATTTAAAAACAACTTACTAAGCAACACTATTAAATATACTTTTACAAATGAAAAATATTAATCTGATAAGCTGTCATTTTGATCTACACAGTATGAACTTACTACATCTGCCTGTCTGTTATGTTTATATTTATTATTTGATTTTATTATATTAATAACAGGATCCCATGACGATGGTAGTACCCAGCCATCTTCCCTATTGAAATTTGGATGTTTTTTAATTTCTATGGCTTCTCGAATCATTCTAGGGCGATATCGGTTTTCTTTCGCCAGGATTTGAGGTCTATCGAAACGAATATAATGGCTTGGGCGGTCCTGGCTATGTTTGCAGACAGCAGATGTTGTATTGCGACGGTGCTTCACATCAGCTATGTGTTCTTTGACCCGGGTTCTAATGGATCGCTTTGTTTGTCCAATGTAAGAGAGCCCACAATCACAATCAAGCTTGTAGACTCCTGCATCTTGTAGAGGGATGTGGCACTTGACAGGTGGTAAGAACTGACTAATTTTCTTTGGCGGCTTGAAGTAAGTTTTAATTGAAGCTCGCTTTAGAATGTAGCCAATCTTGTCAGTGACTCCTTTCATGTATGGCAAGACTGCAGGGACGCGCTCGACTGTGGCTGGTTTCACTCGGTCACTGTGACGCAGGCGCGGCACTTGCAGCTTGTTGTCACGCAGAACTTGCTTGACATGTTGCAGTTCTCCGGCCAGGTGTTGCTCGTCACAGATCCCGCGCGCTCTCTATATATATAAATCCGCGAAATAATCCGAAAAGATAGTTTTATTTAATAATGTCAAACATTCGCGTAAATCTAAGAAAGTATTATGTGTTATTCTTAGTTAAGTGTCGTATATAATTTTATTTATTTATATAGATTTGTAACTAACCCAATTAAAACATATAAAAATTACTTTAAAAATTGAATATACTAAAACGCCTTTCAAAAAAAAGATTATCTAAATAGTAATATCATATTATGACAACAATATTATTTGTATTTTTATACATAAAAAAAATTATTACCTGTCGGTTTGTCCACATCACTCCGGACCGCTTGAATATTTTCTGAGAAAAAAAATATCTAAGTATGTACTTCCTTAGGCATTTGCGGTCATATACATTATTTTCTTAGATTTTCGCGAATATTTGACATTTTAAATTAAACTATCTTTTCGGATTCTTTCGCAGATTTATTTTGATTTTGGTTCCCCAAACCAAAACCACCAACCAAAAATCGAAAAATCAGAAAAGATAGTTTTATTTAAAATATCATACTTAATTTTTTATTTTTGAATAACTTTTATTTCGAGAAACACCTATCAGTTTGTATTATTTGTTGATAAAATATACCATGAAAATTATTAATGCGAAAGTTTATGACTGTCTGTGTGTACGTTTGTTATTCTTCACGCTCTAACGATTACATTTTATCGACATCCCATGAGCCGCGTGAGATTACTAATAAAAACATAAAAGTAAAACATTTGGAGGATGTAACATGTCTTACGATTAAGCAAGAGATTCGCAAATTTTGCATACTTCATACACTACACATATATAACTTTAAATTCATACATATTATAAATATCACTCATGACTGGAGTACAAACATTCGTGCTCATCACACAAATGAATGCCTCCAGCGGGACTCGAACGCGCGACCGCTGGCATAGCATGGTCATCAGTCATTACAAACTGAGCCAAACGTGTCGTCGACGTAGTAGTATTTCATTATATATCAAAAGACAGTCAAAATTTATAAATTGAGCTACGTACGTTATAATTAAATTGAACAATTCACCTTTAACTATTTCTGCTGATTTTACAATGTCCAGTGGCTTCATAGTTGCTGCCTCTGAAAAAAATCCAACAATTGGAAAAGGATATTTTATTAAATGTCATTTTATCAAAAAAAAATATACGTATTCGAGAGATATTTTATTTTAATACTTTCTTAGATTTACGCGAACATTCGACATTTAAAAAAAACTGACTTTTCGGATGTTTTCGCGGATTTATTTTGTTTTTGGGTCTAGACGTTTCGAATGCTTTACAACAGATCCAAAAAAGATACATTTTATTTAAAATATTAAATCTTACATTACGCGAAAACAAAAAGAAAGAGGTTAAATATGTTTGAAAATAAAACTTTTTTATATTTTAACCTATGAGGTACATTAAAAACATTGCAAAGTTTATTTCTACAAGACCCTATACAAAGGGGAGTCACATATAGCTGTAATCCAGTATATGGAATATCCACGAAAACAAAGCCGCTAAAGGTAATAACTCCTTGTAAATAGAATAAACTATGAATGAATAGATAACAGTGTCGTCTCAGTCAGTTAAACTTCATACAATAACTGAAAACTTAACTATGTGAATCGATCTAAATTAGTATTGTATTCAGCCATTTTCAATGTCCCACAGCTGGGCACGGGCCTTCCTTCAGTACGAGGGGGATCAGGCCATAGTCCACCACGCTGGCCACGTGCAGGCGGACTGAGCATGTCTTTCGAAAACTTGCTAGGTACTCTCAGACATGCAGATTTCCTCAGGATGTTTTCCTTTACCGTAACACAAGTGATGTTGAAAATGCACATGTAAATATCAGAGATGGGAGACTCGGGATTTGAACCTGCTTCACTCGATTTCCCAGTCGAGCGCGTTAAACTATAGCTTCATTACACGTGCCAGTATTTTTCAAAATGACAAGGTATATCGTAAAAAAATATATAAACTCCCTAAATTCCAGACCTGGTACGGCAACAAAAATATGGGGATTTTGTAAAGAAATTCATAGTGATATCGAATTTCGGGTAGGAAGTAGTGCTTCACATCCTCGTAAAGCCATAGCTTCTCCGCCTGATCTCTCTCTGTGAGTGTCGGGTTCTTTGAATAGAGAATGTATGACGTATGTGTGTCTGTGTATACATATCTACATTTTGATATCTCCTGCATCAATGTATAGTCTCACGAGAGATTTGATGCAAGAAAACAACAATGTTTACAAAAAGACTTTTTCGCGGCTTTATTTAAATGTTTTGTTACTGACATACTCTAGTAAACACGCTCACGCGAGAGACTAAGGTTTCTGACATCTCAAGAGTTATTATAAATGCAATTCTCTTGTTAATGGCTTCAAAGCGTGCCAGTTGAGCACAAATTATTTCGCCAATGTCACGTAGAATGGAGAAGACGAACATCGATTGTCCAAATCTCGGATCTCTGATTGTAAGATAAATATTATATTGTTCTAATCTAATTTCCAACAAGAAAAACTAAGTTGAAAAGGAACGAAGACATCGAATTGAGATTCAGAATATCTTGAGAAAAACTGCATATCACAGAGCGCCTAATTTTTTGACCAACATAGTGGAATATGGACGCATATACATCAGCATTGAGAGAAGACATCATAGAAGAGGGAAATTAAACCGACCGATTCGAAGCAGATTACCAGGAGACCATAACGACTAACGAGATCATACCAAGGTGAGGTTTTTATGTCAGGTTTTTTTTATGATAAATACATATTGAAATTGAAATTTATTGGAATTTCAGTACATATGTATATAGCAAAAACAGATATTAACGATAATAATAGCAGAAGTGAATAGATTGTAAATTAGGTGGAACTGGACACTCGACTCACTGAGTTAATGCGTAGGATCAAAAGCTTAACATCGTCTACCTCGACATGAGAGTGTCACCCCAACAATAATTCCCAACAGAAAACCCCGAGTAATTATATTTGGCCCGAACCGGGTCTCAAACCGTACTGCCATCGAGATAATTTATCTGATTGCTAGCAAAGTGTTATGTGTATTTATGTATGTTGTAAAGTATGCACTGAACTTACCATGAGATTTATCTATGATCGGTCGATGTGCCAAGTCGTCAGGCTTGAATATATCCGTCTTGATTTTAATCTTGGGCTGATCCAAATCACCTGCCTGTATAAATATATAAACAATAAATACTGTAATAATATAATCAATACAAATTTAGTGTATACATAAAATTAATAAATAGAAAATATCTATAAACTTATAATTTCAAATGAGCAATAATTCTTGTATTAATATTTATATATAAATTTATTTCGTGCATCTCGGAAACTGCTCTAACGATTTGGACATTTTGTATTTAGACTAGGTTTGGATTTTAAAGTTTCTGAAAAAAATGTAATTTATATGTGCAATTTTTCTCAATAAACACATTATTTTTATAATTAATTACTAGAGCTGTTTATGATAATTTCATATAGCGTCATCCCGTTAATGTTAGTGGTAATTGCAGTGTCGCCAGAGAATGATAACCTACTGGACGAGCGCTTACGCCGAGCGATACTCGGTCTAGGCACTAGTTTTTGAAAATTACATATAATTATTTTCATGTATGTAAAACTATAATTATATTCAAATGAATGCAAGTCAAAGAGCGAGACTTACCTATTCCCATAGAACAAGTATATAACCAAACTTGCTATTACGCCTAGCTAAAAGGAAAATATACACCAACTTCTATTTATTTAGTTTTTTTTCTATAAGAACTTTACTTACCATCATTTCACTTTCAGGATGTGGTCTCTTCTGTGTGTCGGTAGGTTCTAGTTTGATTTCCGGCTTAAGTTGCTTCACGTCAAGAGGTTTTTGTGTGTCCAGAGGTGGCAGGAGGTGCGGCTGTGGAGGCCATGCTGGTTTGTGTACACCCACATCTCCGTAACCTTGTACTAGAAAAAATAAAACATACTTAAACCACAGTGACAGATCACATAATACTATACTATTACAGATTCCTCATCTCATACAAAAAAATTGGACAGTGCTAATTCGGGCTATTTTATTTGATTGTTTATATTTCTTTGGGTTATTTTTGTTTGCTTAAATAGATAATAATAGGTGTCGTTGAATCACAAATAGTTATACTGTTTTATTTTATAAATATAGTACCTGGGCTACCGAGCTTCGCTCGGAGTTTTTGGCAAGTACAATTTTGTTTTTTTTTTAAACTAAAAACTTGAATAAATATTTAAAAAAAAACTGAACTAAAAATGGTTATTCCCGAACATGCAAATTACCAACCATATTTTGCGTGAACTGCATGAAACTTGAAAACACGCGTTTTCTCAGACATAAGACTAATCTAGATCGATTTATCGCCCCCGAAACACCCTGTATACTAAATATCATGAAAATCGTTAGAGCCGTTTCCAAGATTCAGATTATATATACTAGCGACTCACCCTCGCTTTGCTCGGGTTCGTCCCTAGGTACCTTTAACAGTTAGTATGGAATAGATAGACTATATATTATATATGTATAATGTATATACATAGGTATGGTGAGTTGTTGTGTGTTGTATCCTAACGTGTTTTCCCATAGGAATGAGATAATCTCTCGCGGTAAAGAGTAGTCTATGTCATTCTCCAGCCCTCCAACTATCTTCTTCTTCTTCTTCTTCTTCTGACGCGGCTTTTTCCGCACTTAGGCATCCTTGCCCGTTGTGCGTGAGCTTGTGCTGCTGTGTGTGTTATTCTTTCCATCCCAGAGCGTCCCAGTAGTCTAGCAGGCTGCCGGTGTCCTGGAAGATTTCTGGAATCGATCTATTGGGGCCGAGTTTTTCTTCGCGTAATTGTTCCAGTGCACTGCATTCAGTTAGAATGTGTGCTGGTGTTTCATCTTCTTGGAGGCACGCTCTGCATAGGGCGCTGTCCGTGTGACCTATGTTTATTGAGTTGGCAGTGTCCTGTTAACAGTTCCACCACCATTTTTAGTTTGGGTCTATCTAAGCGTGTTAGTTTCATTGTTAATTTTTTGTTTAGTGTGGGGAAGGCTTCTTTCGATTGACGGCAATCTGTGTTAGCCTTCCATAATGTGTTAGCTGTGTTATCGGTGAAGTTTCGCAACCATGTTTTGTATTCGCAATACGGAATTGGAGATAAAGGTGTAGGCCCCTGAACTTTCAGTCTAGAGGCCTGTTTGGCTAGGTTATCGGCAGTTGAGTTGCCTTTGTTATTTGTGTGACCCTTTACCCAGGAGACCTTTACTGTGTTAGTATGGGAAAGGTGTTCCAGCGTTTTGTGACATTCTAGTATGTATTTAGATTTTGTTGTGTTTTTAGTTAGTGCTTGTAAAACCGTTTTGCTGTCGGTTTTTATGTGTATAATGAATTTTTTATCGATTTATTTAGTAGTTCTTGTGCTCCAATTGTGATGCCAACGCATTCTGCTTGTAGCACTGTGTTGTACATACCCATATGATGGTAGGTTTTGATATTGAGAGTGGGGCAGAATATACCTGCACCTACTCCTTCCTTGGATTTGGATCCGTCTGTGTAGATGGTGTGGATTGGTACCATTGTTGGGCTGTTGTCTGCATTTCCGTCCTCTGATGTGTTTAATGTATAATGTTTTTCTATGATGTGTGTTTTACTTATTCTGTCGTTTGGCCATTTGAGCTGTGGAAATTCTGCCTCGTAGATGTCGAGGATCTTTGTGTGTTTGCCCAGATTGCGTTTCCATGAGTTGACTGATTTTAGTCTTAGAGCTGACAGGGCAGCTTCTTGTTTTATGAAAATGTGTAGAGGTGGTATGCCCAGAATTATTTCTAGGGCAGCCGATGGAGCGGTTTTCATGCAGCCTGTTACTGCTAACGTGGCTGTTCTTTGGAACTTTTGAAGTTCGTTTTGGATTGTGTGTAGTTCTGTTCTGGGCCACCAGACTACACTGGCGTAGGTGAGGGATGCTCGTACCACCGTGGTGTAGAGCCAGAGCATTGTTGTTGGTGTAATACCCCATTGTTTCCCTACCATGCGCCTGCATTGGTTCAGTATCTTGTGGCTTGAGGTGATATTGTTGTTTACGTGTGTGTTCCAACTGAGTTTGCTGTCAAGTGTTACACCTAAATACTTGACATCATTTGATAATTTCAGTTTTTCGTTGAATAATGTTGGCATCTTTGTTAATTTGATCTTGCGTTTCGTTGTGAAAAACAGTAGTTCTGTCTTTGCGGGATTAATTGATAAGTCGTTTTGTATGCACCACTTTTCTGCTATACTAAGGGCGCTTTGCATTAGTTCTCCTAGTGTGGCTTCAATTTTACCACTTATTAGGATGGTTATGTCGTCTGCATAGCCAATGACTTGTATGTCATTGTTGTTTAACTCATTGAGGAGGCTGTTTACCACAAGGTTCCCTCCAACTATCTTCACACAAAAAAATCACGAAATCGATCAGTCTGTTTAGACGTGAAAGAAGGACAAACAAACAAAGTCAAAGTCAAACTATATCGTAGAAAGAGAAAGTGTCAAATCTACCAATGCCTTCATTTAGTTTATAATAATTTCAAGGTTGGGTTCATTATAATATACATAATTATATAATTATACTATAATAGTAGTAAAAAAATGTAACTTTTATGTTTTTCTGTGACATTTTCCCAATTTTTTCTTCATAAGAACCTTTCCTCAGGCTTCAACGAACATTTGAAAACAATAATTAGCTGAATTGATCCAGCCGTTCTCGAGTTTTGCGCTTAGCAACACATGTAGCTATTCATTTTTATTTATAAGAAGATATACAAAAATTGCTCGTTTAAAGATATGTGCAAAGCAACTAATGGTGAATATTGTAAAATTTATTCTGCATTTGAATAAATAAAAAAATCTGTGATTTCAACAATTTTTAACCGTGTTAAACAATTCATAAAAAGTAAAAGCGCCATCTGTGAATATACACAACAAACTCATCATCTGATTGCTGATATTTCCTCAGTAAAATTAAAATATGGATATATGGAGGGATTATTTCTTTTCCCTTCACTTAAAATATTTTTTAAAACAATAATTTACCTTTTTGGGATATTTTTTATCTTTTTTTAATTTAACACAACTTTAATAACAAGTCGATACATGTAACATCATCTATTGACATTTATTTGAACTAATTTTTCTTTGTTCATGATGAGACAACATACTATAACTAAAGAATGTATGATACAAAGTATATATTTAAAACTTTTGTATGGATATGTATATATCTGTACTAATATTATAAAGAGATAAAGTTTGTGAGTTTGTGATGTTGTAGGGGGTAATCTCTGGATCTACTGAACAGATATAGATGAAAATTGGTAAGAAGATAGTTTGAGACCCTAGGAAGGATATAGGATACTTTTTATCTTGGAAATCATCACTTAAGAGTGTGAAAATGGGGATGAAAGTTTGAATGGGGAATCAAGTGTATATATAAATTCAAATTCAAAATATTTTATTCAGCATTAAATTATAATTTTTTTTACTGAAAATCATTAGTCTACTACCAGTTCAGAAAAAGAAGACTCAGACTAAACACTACCTTAGACTGTATTTACAAACTTTCTCATATGATGCATTTGGGCTACTAGTAAAAGTAGGTCTATATGTATTTTAATATGAGTTCTAATACTTTTTGAGTATAATTTACTCGAAAAACAAAATATTCCATTCAAATTAATGAGATTTATTGATATTTTTTATCTTCTCAATTATGTAAACTATAAATTTTAAGCTTAAAAATTAATAAAGGAGAATCTAGGTAATACTTTTACACATATAAACTTTTTTAAGATAGTAAAACTAAAGAAAAAAAAATGCTAAACTTATTTCAGATAACTTACTGAGGCAATATTGCCAAATAAACTTATCATTAACAAATAATTTAATTCTAGCCATATATTAAAAAGGTGAAACCGACTTGTTATAGTTATAGTTGTAGGCTTTCATTTAAATGTAAAGAAAAAAAACCTTCTTGAAAATTATTGTGTATAACCTTTACTGTCAAAAAATTACAGTATTTCCTACAAATATTTACCAAATCTTCTAAATAGAAAAAACATTAACAATTTATTAGTTTACATAAATATATTCATATATGCTTACCCATATGTGATTGTGCCATATGAAGTTGTGCTTGAGAAGGTTGTTGTGGCGGGAAAGTCTGATGATGCGCATAATTCTGGTGCGCAGGCGGCGCGTATGTCAAGTTTTGAGGAGCGTAACCCCCCGGGGGCGGAGGCCCATATGCAGCAAATGCATCCGGAGGCGGATAGTGTGTGTTATACGCACCGGCGTATGGCTGATACGGTATTTGATGGCCATTATCTACAAAAATAAATAACAACGTAAACAAAGCAAATCACCAAACACTTTTCCCGCGAAAAAAATTACACCTTTACTTACCTATATAATTGAGCGGCAATCCATTCCCTTGGACAACGCCGTGTCCCGGTTCACCCTCCATCCGTAGCCGCTTCTGATTCATAGCCCTTTCCGCCTCATAATTCATCTTGATCACTAAAACGAGAAACCACTTTCAATTCCACTTATAACAAACACAGCATAACACATTTCTACATCTTCGTAACAACAAATTATGGGCTATTAAACCGTTTCGTGTTAACTATGACAGACGCCAACCGGACGCTAGTACTAAACACAGGTTATATGCTCGGTAAAAGCAAACATAAGCGTACCTTTGTTGGATACTGATTGTTATTGATTTTAGTTAATAGAATCACTTGGAGCCTTCTTTATAACGTATTGGTTCATAATAAAGCACAATATTTAGTCAAAATAACTGTTGCAGACAATACATGCACTAAATTATCTGCTTTAGTGACAGTAAAATTAGAAAAAAAACAGAAGTGAAGCGGAGTTCGTGTATTTTTTCTTCTTTGACTTTTTTCTTTATGGTAATACTATACTATGTATACATTACTATTTTGTACGCTGAAAATGAATATTGTACGTCTTTACTTGTACCTTGTATCAATACTTTAAAATATATTTAAAAAAACTTAATTTATGTCTTATATATGCTTAGAAAATTTATCAAAATGATTTTAATGGTTATTAATTTAATAGTTTGTGATTATTTTTTAATCTGTGATTTGAATTTATATGGCGCATGGTGTTAACAGTAGGTACATTTTATTTTATAACATATTAGTAAAGTATTCTGTTACGATTATTATAAATTATAAGTTGTTTAATGAATAAAAAATCTTAAAGTGCTCGTCCAACTATTTACTTCTTTGACTTTTCATCTCTTTTATGTAGGTTGTCTGCATAGTCTTCTTGACCTAACTTTTCTTAGCTATTTTAAGCGAAAAGTAGAAACATGAAATTTGGAAGACATATTCCCTTTATGAATAATGTAATCGATAAGAAAATATTTTTCGAAATTCATCCCCTAAGTGTGTAAAATAGGGGATTAAAGATTGTATGAAACTATGTCATTCTTAATGTGAAATACACAGAAAGTGGTGTTTAGCTTTAAGGTGAAAAATAAAAAAAATATATATATTAGATTTTTTTCGAATTTCATCCTTTAAAGGGGAAAAAGAGTGTAATATGTTTATATGGGAAAATAATTATTTATGATCAGAATTACTTGAAACTTGATAATAATGCTCTTCAATACAATTAAATAAATATGTGTTTTATCAATTTTCGAAATTCAATCCCATAAGCCCCCGTAGAATGGAGGATGAAATTTTGTATGAAACTCTGTAATTAATAAATAAAAAAGTACAAAAAATAAAAAAAAGATCACCTGCAAATAATTTAAGAGTTTTAAAATCATTTTCTTTAAAATTATGTCTACATAGCCTTAAATATAAAGATTGTAATTTCACGAATTTTGGTCACCTTATTGCTTTAGCCCACGTTTTTGTCTTTTGAGAACAAATCATATCCATTTTCTTTGCATCCTGGCACTGCACAATTTGTCGTTTTAATTAAATTTCAAATAAAATGAAAAAAAAAATTTATCCACACTATAAAAATTTACCATATACTAAGGGCTATAGTGATAGCGATATCTGGCGGGGTAAAAAGGCAAAATTCTTCTCCATTTTTTCGGAATCTACTTGACAGTCGCTACTCGCTGTCGGTGTCGCCCGTTTTCGTAATCTGTATTCTGTAAACCTCTGTGGCTGTGCCCGCTGTAAACTTGTAATTTGTAAATTATTGAAATCAGAAATGTGAATTTAAAAGCTAAGATTACAGGTTTTTATTTTTACAAACTTAGTAATAATTACATTTTTTGATGGAAATTCGTTAATTAACAATTTGTAACCGATGAGCTGACGTACAGCGGATGCTGTTAGTTGAACTGAACAACGAGTAAAAACTAAATACCTAGCTCAATCTCTTTGTGTACCGGTCTCTGGTAATATTTTAAAAGGAACGAGTTAAAATATTTTTTTATATTTTAGTACTTTAAGTGAATATAGGTAAGTTTAAATGGTAAATGAAAAACCATTTTAATTTTTGATATTGCACATATGCTAGTCTCCAATTGCCATAAGTATTAGGCTTTTAAATAAAAACATAATGCTATGAGTTATTTCGTAATATTTAGTAATACTTGCATTTAAATTAAAATGTCTATATAGTCTATGTAAAGTGTATTATTTCAATGAATACGATTTAGAAATTATGGGAAGACTAGCATTGCCCGCGGCTCCGCCCGCGTTCAGATGACTAAAAACCAAATTCTTAAGTTTTACATATTATATATGTATACTCTTACAATGCAGTTTTTGTATTTTTTCTCAGAAATGAAATATTTTCCCACGGTAAAAAGTATCCTATATGTTGACCCGGGTAACCAGCTATCATCATACCAAATTTCATCAAAGTCTGTCCAGTGGTTTTCTCGTGATGCGGTAGCAGACAGACAGACAAAAATTCTAAAACTATAGATTCGGACTCTGTATCAATAATAATTAGATTTTCCAAAAAATATTTAATGTACAGATTCGACTTAGTTATAATTTTATTATATGTATAGAAGAAGCAGGTATTTGACACCAAAAAGTCATTTTTGAAGTATGTAATGGTCATTTTGATAGGAAATGAACTTTTAATTTTATATTTTATTTTATGTAATGTACATATATATAATTTTTGAGCGAGTAAATCTAAGAGTAGACAAAACAATATTGTTTTTGATTTGTCTTATAGAAAATGGTTTATTTAGATTTTAAAATCTATGATGATGTATTTTGTGACACTTAAATTGAAAGTGTACATTTATTCTGCTCATTATTATAACAAATAAATATTTCTAAATGGTACCCTTTGAATGTAATTAGAGTGATTATATTTTTTCAGGTACAAATAGTAAGCATGTTTAAGAACGAAATACTAGATTTAGATGCCTCAGAAGTACCACTAGATATATTGTAAGTATAATATGTTATTTTATGTCATAAAATTTATTTGATTTGTTTATTGCCACATTTCATTTACTTTACCTTTCTTACAGAGGCAATTTTGTATATATGTATGTAGTGTTATTATTTATTTTGCTTTAGTTTTTAATTAAGTTTCATAGTTCAACAATGAATATTGTCTGTCTCTTTCTCGAAGGGATGAGTGTGAAGGTATTAATGGATCTTCAGTAAAGATGTGATTGTTATTCATTTATTTACAGCAGAATTCTTGATGGCTTTAATGAATTAGATCCAAATGTGACTCTTGGACAAATACAAATGGACTTTGTGCCTGTAAGTATTATATTATTTTTGATTTTAAGTACATTAATTTGCTTTTAATATTCTTATATCAATGATATTATATAGATGAGCATAAAATAAATTGGCTCATATATGATAAATAAGGGAGGGATATGTACAGGTAAAAATGTTTTATCAATTGAAATGCTTTAAAACCATAAAAAAAAAGAAAGAAATAAAAAAAGTGAATAAATAAGTATTATTTGTATAATTCTGTGTTAATGTATTTAGACAGTATAAAGTTAAAAAAATTGTTAAGCCTTATTATTTCATTATATGACAAGGTTATCAATTCAATTTACTTGTTAATGGCTTCAAAACGTGTCAGTTGAGCACAGATTACTTCGCCTATATCACGTAGAATGAAGAAGACACAAAGGAGATTGGTTGGTAAAATAAGATCATCAAAACTATATTAAAGTAGTGGACTCATCCTCACTTTGCTCGGGTTCGTCCCTAGGTGAACCTTTAAATTGACCAATTTTTTTTATTTATGTACGGATTGAAATAAAACAAATACTAAATGTTAAGTGAAGCTTACCAAAATCTACATTAGTGAAACCCATACCCAAATCGTTTAAGCCAGTTCCAAGATTAGCGCGCACAAACGCAAAGACAAATAGACAAAAATTCTAAAAATAATTGTTTTTGGTTTTATTGCGTTAATAAAGACGAATTTAATAATTGTTTTTCTCGAATATCTTTTATGTACATACAGATCATTTACACTTTTATTATACATATTTATACATGATAATGTATAAAGAATAAATCCTTAATAAACTTTGAACCTACATACAACAAACTACAGCACAATAAATATATATAATTATTCATAAAAAACTTACAGATAAGTGGTTAGTTGTTTTAGTTATTTTCCAAAAAATGTTAGTCTATAATCTAATTCCATTACATTTTATATATTTACATATAAATTTACACAAAGGACTAGCACGAACATTAATAAATAACTAAGATTAATGTTATGGGGGACTTTTAGTGGAAGGACATCATAGATAGGATGACGGAGTCTAGGACAGCTACAAAGAATATGAGAGGGAGTACCTTCGTCAAGGCCACATTCACACAGGGAATGGTCTTTGACCTTGATCTCCGCTAGGTGAGCAGGTGTCCAAAGAGTGGACGACAAATAGAAGTTATGACCCAACGTTCTGCTAGTTTTAGACGATGAAACCAAGGGTGCCTTGGATCTGCCTGAAGGGCTGCATAATGCTTACCTTTAAAAGATTAACAATGTTATGATCATCAATCAAACGTTAAATACAACCTTTAGGTGGGATTGTTCTCTATACTTTTCACTTAATGTGTAAAACTATCAAAACATATTGCATTATATTTTTGAAAATTCCTAAATTTAATGTTCTTATTATTTATTTACTATTCTTAGGTTTCTCCCACGGGACCACCGAGTACAAAAGAATTTACTACTGATGTTAATTTTCGAGTGGAAATAGATGGCTCTAAAACTCATAAGAAAAAGTTTTTGGTAAGTAAATTTCAATATGTATTTCTGAATAATATTATTTTTTCGTGGATTTATTTTGATTTTTGGTTCCCCAAAACCAAACCAGACCAAAAAAAAATAATAAACCGGGGAACACAAAATTAAATCTGTCAAAAAATCCGAAAAGATAGTTTTATTTAAAATGTCAAGTATTCGCCTAAATCTAAGAAAGTATTATATGTATTTGTGATCATAATATTTAATTAATATAAAAAGGTTTATCTCACAACTAATCTGGAGCTCATTTTCGTATGATGTACAAAAATCAATTTCTAATAGCCCAAATAGTTTTTAGAGTAAAAAAATTTGCTTTTTAATCATTTTCTTCTTTTACAGTATTCTCACAAACTAAATTGTTTATTTTTAAATACTGGGCATAATTTCTCAATCAATTTCCAATGGGATATCACCAAAGTGCTCCACCCAGTATATGTTCGAACCACTGTAGTGTTCTCCGACCCTTGTGATGCTGAAAAAAGAGTACAAACCTGCTACCAGCACTCCTACGTATCCCCCGATGATTCTAATGGTATGTATCAATATAGCTAGATTTTCATATTTCTAAGAATACTGGCTTAATCACAGTCTTGATTAGAAAAATACTTTTCTGGGAGATTGGGTCTATATGAAAATTGCTTGAAACTATGTTAATCTTTCACAAGTTCTACAATTTTTCTACAATTCAGTTAATTGATCACTGATTATATTTATTATTTAGTAGTGACTCACCTTGCTCTGCTCTGATTCACCCTTACTTACGTTTTAACGTTTAGTATAGATTTCTCAGAGATGAGATATTTTTCCGCATTAAAAATTATCCTATATGTTAACCCGGATAACCAGCTATCATCATACCAAATTTCATCAAAATCTGGCCAGAGATTTTCTCGTGATGCGCTCATAGACAAACAGACAGACAAAAATTCAAAAAACTATAGACTCGGCCTCTGTATCGAAATAAAGTCTATTTGAATAAGATTTTCCCAAAAATATTAATAATATATCGAAAATAATCAAAACAAATTATTTATTTATCTATACTTATAATAAAATCGTAACTAAGCCGAATCTGTACATTGAATATTTTTTTGAAAATCTTATTGATATCGACTTTATTATCGATACAGAGGCCGAATCTATAGTTTTTAGAATTTTTGTTTGTCTGTCTGTCTCTGTCTGTCCGTCTGTCTGTCTGTTACCGCGTCACGGAAAAACCACTGGAGATTTTGATGAAATTTGGTATGATGATAGCTGGTTATCCGGGGCAACATATAGGATACTTTTTACTGCGAGAAAATGTCTCATTTCTGAGAAAAAATACGAAAACTACATTGTAAGAGTATATTTGTATGTAAAGCCTAAGTATTTGGTTTTTGGTCATCTGAACGCGGGCGGAGCCGCGGGCAATGCTAGTTTAGTAATAAAGTAATAATTTATAAATAACTAGCAGTACCCGCGGCTTCGCTCGCGTCCAAACTTCCGATCGCTAACAAATTTACAGGATCACCCGCTGGGCTAATCTGAAAATTACCTTTTTTCATCAAAATCGCTCCAGCCGTTTTGGAGTCCATAGGAAACACACACACACACATCGATTTTTATTTTATCAACAATTTGAATTTATTTATTGCTCGGAAAATGGAATCTTATGAAAATTTAGTGACACACCGACTGCAGCGCCACCTACCGGATCCATTTGTGTTTTCAAACCTTGCAGGAACGCACTCGCACTTACACTAAAAATATCATTAAAATCGTCCCTTCCGTTTAGGAGATGATCAGTGGCACACTGACTGCAGCGTCGTGTTTTCAAACTATCCAGGAGTCTATTGAAATATACACACAATATTGCATCCAAGTTGGTCTAGCCCTTTAGAAGGAGTAGGTTAACAAACACACGTACAGAAGAATTATATATATTAAGATGTAAAAAAATAATACAAACTAGTGTCGTAGGGGGTAGGAACGAAGTTCCTTTCGCTGTCCGCCCTCTGCTCGTACACATGTCATGACTACCAGGGTAGCATAGACTTGAGCAAAATACTGCGTACATGTTGAAGCTCATCAAAGAAAATCTTGCACATAGTGCATACGAATTTCTTACAACATACATACACTCCTCAACACTATGATCGCCTGGTACTTTTGTCACGAGTAATAGGGGACCACGAACCTCAAGGAGTACTCAAAATGTAAGTAGGGTCCCGTCAAAAAATGCATTGCATACGACCTCCTTTATGCTCGCCTGGTACTTGTAATGACCTCGTATGGGATTATTCGTTACGTGACGATTTCTACGTATTACGTAACCACTCACCTAAAGGAAGATTTAATGACTAACTTCACACTTCAGTCTATTCCATCGTATCGTAAAAATTCACTCTCATCCTTTTTTCCTGAACGCGCCAAAAGCATTATAACTTTAAAAATATTTGACATTGGTTTTTGACCTAGAAAATGAAAGACGATAAGTAAGTTTCTGCGTTTGGTCCACAGCATTGCCGGAGAACATCCGTCACAACGTGCTGCGGTCGGGGCGTGAGGTGGGCGCGCCCGACGTGTTCTACTGCGGTGCGCCCGCCAGCGCCGACTCCTGGTACTCGGTGCTGGTGCGCTTCCCCGCGCCCTCCTCCCACGCCTTCCACTTCGTGTGCAGGAACAGCTGCAGCTCTGGCATCAACCGCAGACCGCTCAGCCTCGTCTTCACCCTCGAGAGTGCCGCGTGAGTCCCTTGACACCACCATCCCACATCACCACCGCCACCCCACACTGCCCCACCCCTCGATAGTGTTCCATGAGCTATATATTCCATCCTCATCTATTGTCACCACTGCCTCTCCACACTCCTCCATCTCCCTTTTCTTACACTTGAGATCTTTATAACACCTTAATCTCTAAGAATTTTCGACTTTATGTGACATAAGAGATTAGAGATTGCCTCCACTTTTTTAAAAAACAAACTGATTAAGATTTTATCTATAATGACCTAGTTAAAAAAAAGTTTCATGTGATCTGTTCAGCTATTCTCAAAAAGCATTTTATGGAGTATTTAGTGAATAAAAACTTCATACAAATCCTAATTATTAAACATATATTTATTTTGTAAAAATATTTAATGTACAATTTATAGCAATAGGCTTGCAATTTTTTTTTCAGAGGCGATGTGTATGGTCGTCAAGTTGTAGGCGTGCGAGTCTGTGGCTGTCCCAAACGAGACTTGTACACTGCAGAGTTGGCTCAAAGCTCAGAGAATCCAAAAAGCGGGAAACGCAAAGCAAAAACTGAGACCACAGACACCCCTACCACCATAGTGAGCAGTACCACCCCGTCCCGCAAACGGATCAAGCTGGAGGACAGCGAGTGTGACACGCTCGTGACGCTGCCCGCGGTAAGCCTTCGCGCGTGCGGGTGATGTGGGTGTGACGTGCGCGTGACGTGTGTCGACGCGCAGTTGCCGCAGTGTATTTGTGTGTGTGCGCAGATAACGGTGCCGGGCACGCGTGTGGCGCTGGCGGGGCTGCGCGTGATGCGCGACATGCTGCTGCAGACGCGCGCCGTGCAGCTGCGCGCGCGGCCGCAGCAGGACGTGCGCGCCGTGGAGCGCGGCCTGGCCGAGCTGATGGCCGCCGAAGACGCGGTACGGCGAGGCGGAGGCGCGGGGAGTGGGAGCGACGACTGAGCGGGGGCCCGGTGCGTAAGGGGAGAGGGGCGGGGGCGACGCGTGTGCGGGAACCCATGATGTGTTTTGGGGAGGGGGGGTGCATGAACTCAATCTGTAGAGAGAGAGAAAAGAGAAGAAGTGCGAGAGAAAGTTCAAGAGTCAATATAGTAATAGTGAAAGAATTAAATATTCATATATTTTAAGACAGTTCTATGGTAATACTTAATTTTATATCTTTGCACCAATAGTCACATCATTATTTCATATTATGAACAGTAGAAAAGATAAGTTTTTTTTTAAATAGAAATTTTAGTTTATTTTTAATCACATTAATTTTGACCTGTAGAGGTTTAATTTTCACCCAAGTTTTGCTTAATAGTGACCCTAATAAAAAAATTCTATCCTGACCTTAGAATAGTTGATGACTTCATTTCAATACTGTTCATAGAAATCAGAAAATATATAGGAGTGACATATTCAAACAATATGTCATGTCCATACATTCTTTTCGATAGTGACTGTTGAATGTTATCTTGTACAAGGTAATTCTTGTTTTTTTTTTTAAATATTCTTTATAAGTAATGATTAAGTGAATTTAAAAAGTTATTGAACTGATTTAAATAAGAATTTAGTGTTAAGTTTTTCAGTATCTTGTAATTGTGATAATTTTTAAGATTTTACAACAACATCTTAGCATTATTATTTTTTTTTAAATATGTTTTAAGACTTTTTTATTAAGCCTCTTTTTGATTAATTTGAAGATCTGTGATTTCTCAAAAGTTATCATACATTATGATATACATACTATTACTTTAGTGCAGTTGTTTTAGGACTTTAAAGAACTAATAAGAGTATATGCCTCAGTCCGCCTAATTTTATATTTTAATACATAATAATATGAAAAAAACAACCAGTGCTTAAATGGTCAAATTTTAAAATTTGACCATTTGCTAAATTAAGTAGCACTTATTGCTTTTATTACTGATGCAATCTAAGGGCATATTTGATCATTTAAAACAATATCCTGTATCAATTTTGATATAGCTCTAACCATAACCCATCCATATAATATTTAAAGATAGTTCAAGTTTGTTTAGGAGAAACTAAAACTGACATTGCAAGTTTCTAATAATAGAAGCTATATATGCATGTATATTACTATATACATATATTTTTTATAAAAATTGTCATCATCATATAGTATTTGTCTCAACTAAACTATTTTATATTTTATTAATATTTTGATTATTATGTTTAAAACATTATGTTTTTGATTTTCTATAAACATTCCACTTTTATTTATTTTATATATACAACTACATATTTAAGCATATCATGGTATTTGCTAGAGCAAAAGTGGTCTAATTCACTTTTTTTCTAAAAAGTACCTTTTAATTATTTTTGAATATGGCAACTAATAAATAATGAAAAAGTATTATTTCAAAATTGTTCCTTCGTTGAACAAGTATAAAAAACAATCTACTTTTTTAAGTTGTGTTTTTATTACACTATTGTCGCGTCATTGGGTTTCTTTTAAATTTTTATTAAGTATAATTTTTTATTACATAATTATATATTATCATGATCATTCAAAGTTAGGATAAATTCATCAACGTTCGAGTCCTTTAATCTTCTATACTCTATAGAATAATAGTACTTTACAATATATCTGTCCTCTGATATAAATTACATACATATATGTGGCTGTAACACTTCAAAAAAATATTTTTATAATAAAAAAAAACATAAATCATTGAAGAATAGATGTTTGCATGGAGTATTTGTTTTTAGATTATGCCCTTTTGCATACAGCCACATATAGAAACGAATATACAAAGAAATTTCAGCTTTATTTTATACCAATAATAAACACGTTAGTTTTATCAATTCTTGTAAACTACATTCATATGAATAAGTAACTTTATATTGATTGCATTAATTTCTTACTGGTATTATTGTTTCATTTGACTTTTTAGTTTTTTTTGGGTATTTTAATTTTTTTTTTCAATTTGATAGTTTTGAATTTATGTTAATTACTTTGTTATTCTCAAAATTATATGATTATTTTTTTAAGAAATTTATTTTGCTCTTCCAGTGTGTAATTAAGTGCCTTATGATATACAATAAAAACTTAATTTTTTCTATTTGTTTTTTTTATCTTGACAATATACCTTTTTGTGTTTTATATGTTGCACAAACATCAATAACAAATCGATTGAATCACCATCTATTGACATTTAATTAATTCGCGTTAAGAAAATAGTGAGTCATCAAGTGCAATGGTAGGTAAAGGCAAAAACAAAGTGGGAGTAAAAATTCAATTCAAATTCAATATTTCAAAAGACTAAGTTTAATGGAAAATAATCAACTTAATTATCTTGCTTACCTCAAATCTTGATTTGAGATGATAATGACTATTTTGATTTGAGATAATTGATCAAGTTAATTATCTTAAATCAAAACAAAGTCATAATATAATGTTAATGGCTTTGATTTGAGATAATTGTTCATTAATAATATATTTAAGTCTGCCTTCAACTGGTCATTGTGAAAAATTGACTTTATAATTTTATGCAATCTAATTGGTCGGAGGGCGTGGCTAGGCCGGTGGACAACGATGACTCACAATTTTCTTAACGCGATTGAACTATAGGCTAAAAACGGTGGTGGAACTTATAACAGGACACTGCCATCTCAACAAACATCTTTTCAATTATATCACACGTACAGAGTCCTGTGCAGAGCGTGCCTTCAAGGGGATGAAACACCAGTTCACATTCTGCTTAAATGCAGTGAACTGGAACTCCAACGCGCAGAAAAACTATATCCCAAGAGATCGCTCCTAGAAATATTCGAGAAAACCGACAACCTGCTAGACTACTGGGACGCCCTCGGGTGGAAAGAATAACACACTGAATAGCACAAGCTCACGTACAATGCCAAAACTGCCCAAGTCCGAAAAAAGGCGTGCAAGAAGATCAGAATAATAATATAGATAGTAGAATAACATTATTCAGATAGATAGACATTATTCATTATACACATTATTAATTGTTTAAATATGCACAAGTTGCTTATGTTCAAAATAAAATATATTACATTGTAAATATATATTTTTTCTATTCAAAGAACGTTATCTCTATTGTCTTATACTAATGGTAAATTTTGTTGCTAGAAATGTGTTATAAAAATCAAAAAAAAAAGATAAATTGAAATTTATTAATTAATACTGTCTATAACCACATTTAAGAATTTCACAATTATATAGTTATAATTCTTTACCAACATAAGTAAACAAAAAATATACCTTTAAAACATTTATGTTCATGCATGCTATAATACACTTTATGGTACTAAAGTATTAATCGTTAACTTAATTTTTATTCTTTTTTGGCATGTTAAGATAAACTTTTGAGGGGCAACGAACTGTTAAATGTTTTTAATTGTATTTAGAAATGCTTAGTGAAGACTGCCGACTAAACCTCCTTAGGGTTTAATCTAACATCTCTGTAGTCTGTAGCATAGTCCAGTCAGTTCCAATTCTATAGTTGTCTCGAACACACCTAAAACCTATTTCTATATCGTTTTTCTATGTTATAATTCTATTTCAAATGTTTAACTTAGATAAACATTTTCTGTGTACCTTTTTCTTTTTTTAAAAGTTACTGTCAATGCTCCTTATAAAAGAATGCTTAAACATTAGCATAACATTAAACTTTTGTCCTTTAATCAGACTATTCACTATCTTGACGATTTTCCAACAATCTTCGTAACAGCTCACATTTCAATTTTTCTATATTTAACCAATCTTTATGCTTCTTTTCATTAAATTTTAATTTCCCATTCTCTACATCTTTTTTAACTTTTGTTTCTGTTTCGCGAACATCAATTGATTTTTTTTTCAACTCCATTTCTTTCTCTTTCATTTTCAAATATTTTATCATTTTTTCATCTTTGGCCTTCTGGTTATCGAGAATATTTTGTAAAAGTTCCATACTTTGAAAACATTGTTGACTTTTTGAATTTTTATTATCACCCGCAACCGAACTTGTCTTCAGTTTTGAAGATTCATCAACTGGTGCTGTATTATTTATGCTGGATATAGCATCAAATTTAATTTTTTTATATTTATTAATGTTTCTTGATCCGGCTTCATCATGCTGTATTTTTTTTTCATCTGTACAAAATATCGAAGAAAATTTACGTGGAGTGGAAACTTTTTTTCCTTTATGAAAAATTTGTTCAAATTGCTCATAATATTCGAACGTCATATGATCGTTTCCACTCTTACTGTTGTTCTCAATGCACTCTTTATATTTACTTTTTAAACGATTAAATTTCCATTTAACTTGATCAGCTGTTACCTGTAAACCATAAATTAATGCTTACAACAAAGACTTCAAATTAACACACTATCAATAGTTCAGTAATCAGTAGGCAGTGGTAGCCCAGTGGTAACACATTTGCTTGGGAAATCCGCCAACACACACTTGGTCAGTATGGTGGAGTATGGCCTGATCCCTCTCGTATTGAGAGGAGGGCCGTGTCCAGCAATGGGACATTAAAAGGGCTGAGTACTATAGTTCAGTTAAGTTAAAATTCTGCTAAATAACGGTTTTTGAATTACTTAATCTTAAGCTTGAATTAAAGCATAATAAATGTTTACATTTTTTTGAGTGTTAACTACACTAGAAATGTGTCAATAACTGACACCTTCAGCATTCATGATATTAAGTGTTTTTACCTGTATACATAATTCTGATAAGCCTTCTGATATTTTTTTCCACACCTGTGATGGCTTGCCATTGTCCAAGAGGATCTGTATGTTTGCTTCATATAAATTAAGCATAGCTGTCGTGGCTTTCCTTGTCCACACAGCACCTGAAATATTAAGAAACACAACAGGCAATTATTATAGAATCAAAACTCTAAAATCTAACACACAGTTTATAACGTATATTCTCAAAAACATTTCATAACCCATTAAATTCTTACTTTTCTTAGCATTACTCTCTGCTTTCAATTCTTCAGGATCACTTAAGTCTTCATGACTTTCAATATTAGCAGTGTTTCCTAAAATATACACATTAAATTTTTACTTTTAATCTGTAGAACAATTCTATTTTGTCATTAAAAGCCATTTTATATAATATTCTAAAACAATAAATGTAACATCAATAAGAACTATTTGTACCTAACGAAGAAGAGTTATGAATATCAAAATTTTCATTTTTAAATGCTTGATCTTCATCGTTTTCTGTTTTTACATAATTATCAACAAATAAGGCGCTGCTGTCTTCATATTGATAAATGTGTTCTTTTCCACGAAAACATTTATGATTGCAAGCTTCATTTATTGAGCCGATCAAACCATTGCAATGTTGACAAAAGTATATTCCACCTGTCAAATAAATTTGTTTATAGTTTTGAATATTGAAATGAAACTAGTACGAAATAGGTACATTACATAACCATTACAAAATATGAAGCATAATTATTTTATAGGATTTCATTATAGTTAAAATTCAGACCCATTCGAACAGACATTATGTAAATCTGATTTCATTTTCTGCACTAACTTCTTATGTAGAGATGCAATTAAGAAATAAGATCTTTCGATAACGGAATCGGATAATATGCGACGCAACGATGTCCGTGATAGACCCTGTTTTTTCAATTAAAGAGCATAATACCGCACTTTGACGCACAAACGTGAAAAAACACTTCTTATATTTTCTGCTACTGAGATGGTTGGTCACGCCAAAGCAGTACTTTTGAAAGTGCTCGATTGTGCGGAGCTTTGTTGTAAATTGAAATATACATATATAACATGCCGCATAATGCACTTTAGTGCTGTAGTTGGAAAACAGGGTGAGCGAGCTCAGCTAAACGCTTACGAGTTGATTGTCCGGGATTGCGTTGTATGGAATCGTTAACTTCATCAATTGGTTCTTGTGTTCTTATTGATCTTGGGCGTCCCGCACGTTTTTGATTTAGCGTAGAGCCGGTGGATTCGAACTTCCTGATCCACGATCTAATGACACTCTCACTGGGACATTGACTTAAATCGTGTAATCTGAACTTTTTGCGAAATAAACGCCGAACGACAATGCAGGAATCACCATTTTTGTAATAATGTTTTACGCAGAACGCGCGTTGCGCGCCTGTGAAACGTTCCATTGCTTTGCGAGAGCGAGTTTACGAATTACGACTTAAGAGTTGCAGCTGCAGTAAGCAGTTGCGACTTGCGAGTTGAGTTGCGCCTAAAGTAAATTTATGTTTAGTGTTTGTTTACCGAAAAATACTGCCAGATCAAAAAACTCATTCAGCGCTAGGACAACATAAAAAGCGCTAGATTTCACAAAAACAGCGCTTTAAGAAAGCGCTAGATTTCCCACTAAATTAACTACATTTTATTATAATAAAAACACAAACAAAGATCAAGTAATTTTTTTAATTTCATCATCATCGTCATAAAAACAACATTAAAGACAATCTTAAATCAAAGTTACCTATTACTGAAATAGACCAGCTTCATCAGTCTTTTTATGGCTATATTTTTCAAATGTCCCAATCGATCCTTCGTAGGATATCAACTAGCAGCTCATAATCATTATAACAATAATCGCTGTTAACAGCAGTTAGTCATGTGCTAATCATCACAATGGCATAAATACTAATATTAATGACCTAATACACACAAAACTGAATATATGCGGGCGGACCTACACTTTCTTCGTATTGTAACTTTCAAATAACTTTTAACTTAGCTGTGCTGAGTGCTATGAACAACTGACTGAAACTGAAAAATAAATAAATGAAAACAAAACCATGAATAAACTTTGAATAAAAAGAATTCCCTCGCATGTAGTCTATCGGTAATGCAGACTAACCCTGTTTTCCAATTACAGCACTACAGCGCATTATACGGCATAATGCTAATTTCGAATGTTTCAACTACAGAAACCTTAGAGTATACATAAGCTATAGAGCGCGCGTAAGCAAGTAAGAACGGTAAGCATGGGTATGAACTTTTATTTGTTCTCCATGGTATGAAGTATGAACAGTCTCGAAATGTCAAGGGCGACGCTATTAGTCACGAAAAGACTTGCGCGCTGATTGTTTCTTTCGTCCGTATTTATTTAGATTTATGTAATGATGGTGAAATGTGCAGTTCCAAGCTGTAAAAACGATTCACGGAAGCAAACTAAAAAGAACAAAAATATTTCTTTTCATCGGTATACAATATCTTAATTAGAAAACGTAGATTTTAACAAAATTACATAGGCGTGAGCGGGTGTTGCGGGAGGCGCGCGGACGGGTCAACACATCACGTGTTTCCACGCCCCCCGCTTCCTACTTTCATCATTAAGAGCTAGTGTTGTACCACGTTGTACTATTCGAACATTTTGTATAACCGTAGTATTGTAAATTAAGATTCTTTGTATCTGTCAAAAATAAAACCTTTAAATTTTAATGGCACCAAAGTACCTTACAATATTACTTAATTTTAAACATTTTTATAATTTAATAAGTTTTATAATAATTGCATGGAATATTTTTAATTTCATTTTAGCTGTTATTATTATAATTATTACAATTTTTTTAGAAAACTTTATTAATTAGTCATCTTGCACCAATGCGAAAAGTTAAAGAAAATAATATATAATTTTAATTTAGTTTACTATTATTTAAAAAATCAAAATATTAAGCAACACTATTACTCCATAGATTTACTAATGAAAGATATTAATTTGAAATACAGTAATTTTAGATAATAAAGTCTATATGTGCGTGAATAAATGGTATAGTTTATGTTAATATACTTCTTTTTTAATTAAATTCTATAAGTTTTACTAGGCGCATCACTATTCAACCGCTTCAACTACAAGTATGTATCAATAAGTGTGTATAGAACTATAGAACATCTGCTTACGTTTCGCACATGAACGAATTAACCACAATTCGTTCATGGTTTCGCATAATGGACAATGAGTGAGGTACCCTACCCCAGCCTGCAAATTTATGATATTCGCAATGAAAAAAATACTAATCGATAGATTTTTAATAGCTCAATTCAACTACGTAGCCCTTCCAAATTGCTCACCATTAATTATAAAATTAAAAATCAATAAAGTCCTTGAAAAAAAATTCATTTATCCGTATATTCAAATTTCTATATCTTTTGATATATACAATATTTTAAATTGCTCAAAGTTCTAAAATACTGCTCAAGTTGCATTTGTAATTGCTCAAGTAGAGTTCTCACCAGCTCCACTTTCCTTAATTATTAAATAAATATAAATAGTTTGAATAAATTTAACGTATAGATAGGTGAGTGCTGCGCATGCGCGCAAACAGTAAATTCATAAATTCAATAAATTTAAAGAAATCCACCGAGAAACAGAATTAAGACGTTGAATTGGAACGATTGTCCAAGCCCGCCGAGGCCGACCGACAATGCGCGGTGCGCATGCGCACGCTCACTTAACCTACGTTACATTTATTACAACTATACTTTTAATTATTTAATAATCAGCGAAAGTGGAGCTGGTAAAAACTCTACTTGAGCAATTACAAATGCAACTTGAGCAGTGTTTTAGAACTTTGAGCAATTTGAAATATTGTATACATCAAAAGATATAGGAGTTTGAATATACAGATAAATTAATTTTTTTTCAAAGACTTTATTGATTTTTAATTAAATAATTAAAGGTGAGCAATTTGAAAGGGCTACGTAGTTAAATTGAGCTATTGAAAATCTATCGATTAGTATTTTTTTCATTGCAAATATCATAAATTTGCAGGCTGGGGTAGGGTAGGTCAATGAGCGATACGCGCGCAGTCTATAGCATAATATGTATACTCTAGCAACCAACGTTTACTCAGCGGCTCAGCCCGACTGAGTAGTCGTTGACAGCAACGTTCCGCTCAATCGTGAATCAAGCATTTTGAAAAGTACTGCCTTCAGCCTTGGCGTGATGCCCGCAACGATACCAACTCAATAGCAGAAATTGTGAGAAGTGTTTTTTCTTCAAGACGGCATTAATCAAAATTTTATTTACTTACAATTTACATTTTTATTGCTAGTAGTATTGTTCATTGTTGAACTAATTCGTAAAGCTTTCGGCGTATTCTGGATCATAGATATATAAAAAAAATTATTCTGTGTTCAAAAATAAATATAAGTATGTGTGAAGCTTCAAGGAGGCATTGATCAAAATTTAATTTACATTATCATTAGTAAATATTTGTATTTTATTTATATAATTAAAATCCATTAAATATTAGCCAAGTTACGCCCAGTTGCAAGTTTGAATGATTGAAAAGATGCAACATGATTCAATGATTGAACCTTCCTGATTAATTGGAAGTTAAGCTGTTAGTGTTCTAAAATGATATGATTCATCGCCAGACGATTTTCTGATCAAGTATTTAAGATGAGTTCGAGTACCCACTCTTCAATGAGATCGATGGAAGTGGTTGTCTGGGTAGTCTAAAAAGTTATGATATTTCTATTCAGGGATGTGATTCTCTGAGTAGTTTGAGAAGCAATATAAAGAAATAAGTAGGTATATTTTATTGTTGTGATTTTAATATTTTACTATGCATTGTTAACCTACTGGCCATGGACGAATTAGAGACTGGACCTGACATAATATACAAATGTATGAAAACTAGTTCAACCAAGTGACGCATAACGCACACAAAGATTTTATTACATTATTATAAACACTGATACACAATACAATATTTCTAGTGCTTGAACGTAATCGATAAAATACATATATCGATGAACCAATGAATGACATTTTAGACATTGGTTAGCATAGTCATCATATTTTACATCTTTTAATTTATTCTTCTTCTTTTAATTTTAATAAATTAAAATAAATGAATTAAAGAGGCAATAATAATGTGTCAAATAATAATTATTTTTTAATTTGATTTTTATAAATACGATGGCATTGATGGCAACATTCTGTTGGCCTATAATAATGTTAATAAACAAATGAATATCGCGTGGAAATACCATTAATATATAATAAATATTAATTTGGAAAGATTAAAAAAAATATGAAGCTAATTTAATTAAATAAAGTGATTTTGTTGATTCTGTTATTGAACTATTTTAATTGGTAATTGATTGTCTCGGGTAGTTATAAAAATGTGACACTGTCCTAATATTGCTCAGTTCTTAATAAGCATTTGTGAAATTAGGAAAAAGAAAAAGTGATTGCATATTAAAGTGAGTGTTGGATCGTGAAAGTAAAATAATTAGTGCAAGTGGTAAAGTGTTTTATTACAAATCGCCAACCCAGAAGTTTAGTGCTAAAACAATATTGTTTGATTTTGTGTAATTTATGTGTTGAAATAAAATGATCTTTATTATTATTACAATGGAATAATATTCCAAAGTATATAAATGTGGTATGAAATAAAAAATTAAGTACACATACTAATTATAATTTTTGCATTTATATTTTTATTTGATTTAGAAAATATTTTTATAAATTTATTGTCATCAGATTGTGGTATACTGTGATAAAAGTATTTTATGTTATTGTACTGTACAAATAACACAATTCGTTCAGTTATTTCGTCAAATATCGATATATTTTTCGACATTGTCAAGCACTAGTCGATGTCAAATGGACTCACTCGACAGTTTTGTCATTTGTTCTGAATGGTATAATCCAGGGATTTTATGATGGTTGTCAGATGTCAACAATACATAGAAATATCGACTATATTTAACATAGTTGGATATTATGACATTTTATTTTACATTTAATTAAATTTTGTGATAAATAACAATAAATGTAATAAAATAATGTATTTACAAGTGACAAGAAATAGTGCTGCTTCCGCCGTTATAGTTTTTACACCAATTAACAGAACATTTAGTCATTTTTGGGAGATGTTTTGTTGACAAGTAAGTGCTTGAGACTGACACAAAAAACAAACGACCTAGGCTAAAATTCCCTGGTTACTGACATGACCGTTAAAGGTACGTCCGCTTATATGTCTGGTCCAGTGGTTAATTCGTTCATGCTACTGGCCAAGTGTAAGATTTCCCAACGGGAAGCGTGTATGAAGTGAAGGTCATTCACGATATCAAGATGGGCGAGTGTACTAGGTTGCATTTTTATATATGAGCATTTCTATGAAAAAAATAATATATTTGATTATTTTGTATTGATTTATGTATAAAGTATTTATAGTGACTTTGGCCGATAGGAGTGTATCTAAAAAATAAAAAGGACCCGGATATTTTTAGTATCCCGTGCTTTTTTTAACAGATATTGTCGGTACCACCTTGTAATGACTAGTCATGGATTGTTTGTAATACTGTAAATTATTATTATAAATTATGTAACTTATCATTTAAAAGAGTACTCGAGTTTCTCGCCGGCTCCTCTCAGCAGAACTTCTTTGAGAATCGGTGGTATGACTTCCACACGGACAGACGTACCTACTGACGATTTTAAACGAATTAAGTTGATGTTCCAAAAGTACTGAATATAAAAATATATGCAAAGAATAACTCAAATTTTATTAATGAACATATTTGTACATCTTACAAACATAATAAAGAAAAAAAAACCTAATAATAAGCTAATAGCATCGCCTTCAAAGGGAAGAGAGAGAAGAGACCTAATGCTTAAAAATTCAAAAGAATACCTAATTTTTTTTATTATTCACATTTTCTTCTCAAAAATTGTAAATTAACGACTAATACCAATAATAAAATTGTAACTAAGCCGAATCTGTACATAAAATATTTTTTGGAAAATCTTATTGAAATAAACATTATTATGAATACAGATTACAGATTCGGCTAATCTATAGTTTTTAGAATTTTTGTCTGCCTGTCTGTTACCGCATCACAACCATTGGAGGGGTTTTGATCAAATTCGGTATAGTGATAGCTGGTTATCCGGGTCAACATATAGGCTACTTTTTACCGCGGGAAAATATCTCATTTCTGAGAAAATATACAAAAACTGTAATGTACGAGTATAATAATAATATGTAAAACCTAAGAATTTACTTTGGAATATTATTCCACTGTAATAATAATAAAGATTATTTTAACACATAAATTACACATATTTTAGATTTCCTAGTGACCCTTCTCGAAAGAGAAAGTGGGTAGAAGCAGTTCATAGAGGTGACACCTGCATTCCAACGAAACACAGCGCAATATGCAGTGTACATTTTCAAACTGCCCGATTTAATAACAATGCAAAGAACCAGAAAAAGCTCGAAAAAGATGCTGTTTTCAACATTGTTTTTACCGATATATGTGAGTTTATTAGAATAAATTACTGTAATATTTCATGGCATGACGTAAAATAATGTTTAAGTACGATTTTCACTTTCTTCAACTTTCATTAACTACATAATATTATAAAAAAACTATGTTTTCGGATTTTGTCTGACTGTCCTCCCGTGACCATGATTGCTGTAAAGCATTCGAAACGTCGAGAACCAAAAATCAAAATAAATCCGCGACAAAATCCGAAAAGATAGTTCATTTATAATGTCGAATATTCGCGTAAACCTAAGATAGTTTATACCTATATATTATTATAATACAGTGCTTTTTTAGTCACTAGAACAAGCTGTGATACCAAGGAATACTCGAATTCAAAATTTCAAGCATCCTCTACAATTTCAACATTACTAATCTCTTCAAAAGTTGGTATTACCTTTAACGTTGAAATATCTTTTATTATTTGTACCATTTCAACCGATTTTAAAAAGGAGGTTCTCAATTCTCAGATTCTTTTGTATGTTTGTTACGCGATTTCTTCGCCAATTGTGGACCGATTGTAAAAATTCTATTTGTATTCGAAAGAATATACCTACTCTCGAGGTGGTCTCATATAAATTTAATACAAATAAGCTATATTAATTTTATAATTGAAGCTGGTTTAGGGATTTCCAACCTGTAAATTATCTGCTAATATAAAGTTAAATCTCGTGTTTTTAGCCACAAGAAGTAAATAACAAGCATTCAATAGAAAGTGTTCAAATCAATCAAAACGTAGTAGTACTAGCTGAAGTTTAAACCCGTTACAAGTTGTAAGTTCATATAATTTTTTTATAAAAAAAATTTTTACAGTAATTTTTGTTACTAAAATTGTATTAACTGGTTTTTAACACTATACTAAAGGAGATATACACTGTCTAATATCTATATCCCAAATGTCTTATATGTATGTAATTGTTGAAATGTAACATAAACTCTAATTTTAACGTATAGATGCAGTTGGTGCAGAAAACAAAGTCTAATCAAGTTCAAGTATTAGATTCTTCAAGAAAGCTTAGACTGAGAAAAAAGATACATGAATAATCTAAAAAAAAATAAACGATTACAATACAGTAATCGCCGTTTAAGGAAAAGAGTGACAACATTAGAAGAAATACTGAATAGTTTGACGGAAAAAAAATCTTATAACAGAAGACGATAGTGTCGTATTGGAAAAACTTGGGAGGAAAAACAAAGGATTTACTGAAAAGAATGAAGCAGAAAAAAGAAACTGGTACCGTTCCGCGTTCATACACTCCAGAATTGAGATAGTTTGCCTTGACATTGTATTTTTATTCAGCCAGAGCGTATAAATATGTCCGCAAAACATTTGATACTTGTTTACCTGCACCACGCACGTTAACAAGATGGTATAGTACCATAGATGGAAGACCTGGTTTCACAAGTGAAGCGTTAAAAGCAATAAAAGAAAGAGTGGGTAACATAAAGATCTATGCAGCACTAATAATTGACGAGATGAAACTAATGGAGAGTGAAGACTATGATATAAATTCTGGACGAACATTTGGATAGGTATATTTTGGATTCAATGTCGAAACTGATTGGGAAAAGATGGCTTCGGAAGTATTGGTCTTTTTGTTAGTGGCACTAAATGAATCCTGGAAGGTCCCGATAGCTTATTTTGCCACAGCAGGAACAAATGCTGAACAAAAATCGAAACTTATATTAATAGCAGTAGAGTTAGTGCACACAAGCGGTGTGGAAATAAAAACTCTTGCATTCAAATTACCAATGCCACAAGTCAAATAATAGTTACAGCCAAGAAATTGGGATGCTGCTTAGACATCTCAAATCTAAAACCCTTTTTAAAAAGTCCCGTAAATGAAAATAATATATGTCTTTCTAGACCCATGCCACATTCTAAAATATGTTAGAAACACTTTCCAAGCATACGGAAATTTTGAAGATTCTGAAGGCAGAGAAATCAATTGGAAATATTTAGAGGAATTACACAATTTACAAGATAGTGAGCTGTTCCATTTGGCGAACAAATTGCGAGCCAATCACATATACTTCAAAACAAAAATCATGAATGTTCGGCATCTCAGCTATTTAGCGACAGTGTAGCTGATGCATTTTTATTCTGTGACACGGAGCTTCGAAATCTTAACTTTTGTGGAAGCTACGGCAGAGTTTTTGAAGAAATTTAATATTTTGTTTGATATTCTAGATTCCAGAGTTCATCAGTATGGATTCAAACGAGCAATGAATTCTGAAAATCATGAAGCGGACGAAGTTGGATGAGGCCTTTACCCGAAAAGGGGTCGATATTTCAAATTAAAAATATAATTTCAAAGAAGACTAAACATACTAACATAATATGTATATTAATAATTGAGAAAATTTACTAATTACTAACTACGTTTGAATTGTAACTTGGAAATATGGAATAAATGTTTTTATTATTATTATTATAAATAAACTGACAGTTACACAAACTGACAGTCAAGCTAACTGACAGTGAAACTTATTGACAGTTAAACTAACTCACAGTCTTTCAGGAAGACTTCTAACAACAATCACATATTTAAAAACATTAAAACATAATGAGACGAATATTATGAAAACGCTTCGATTTCGATTTCGATTAAATCGAAGTTAATGGATTTCTTGAATTCTGCATGCGTGCTGAAAAAAGGAAATCACATGTCATATTTGCCTTCCCATAAAATATCTCAATATCACATTGAGATATTTTTTGGTAATATACGTATTCATGGAAGATGCATTGATAACCCAACGATCAAGTTATTTGAATCAATATACAAGAGAATGCTAGTTCACTCAGAACTTATTTATGTGGATTCAGGGAACTGTGTACGGTTGGAATCCATTACAATACTGAACTGCTCATCTAAATCACCTATTGAGAAAATAAATATGACAACGGCGAGAAGTAACAGCGACAATCAAACTTTGCATTTAACACCAGCTGATGATAATGAACTGCCTCATGTTACTACTCTTTCGCCTTACGGACAAAAAGTGGTTGAATATATTGCTGGTTTTGTAGTACACTAACTTTTAAAATCAGTAAAATGTGAAACTTGCACGTCTGCTCTCCTCCCTCAAAATGAGACCACTGAAGGCCCATAAAGACAAAGGGAAAACTGATACATCCCTCAAGTGATACCATATCTATTTGTCAGCACATCGAACTTGAACTTAGGAAGGGTGTGATAAAAAGACTAAAAAAAGAATACACAACAGACTTTCTCCTGCCGAAAGTAACAGAAACATTGCTGCAACTTCCATTATATGAAGACATTCATTTTCATAAATTTGAAAACGACGATGTGAATCACGTCGAAGAATTAACGAAAGCCGTTGTTGAAAAGTATTTAAATATTAGATTTGCTTATCTAAGAAAACAAGCGAAGAAAAAAATCTAAGAAACACATTTTAAAAAAGATGATACATAATAAGTCAGTAACCTATTTACTGACTTATTGCAGTGGTAGCACAGTGGTAACATGCTCGCTTGGATAACCGAGTGATGCGGGTTCAAATCCGGGTCTCGTACCTTTGATATTTTTATGTGCGAATCATTTCTATCATGATTACCACTTGTCTTACGGTGAAGGAAAACATTGTGAGGAAACCTGCATGTCTGAGAAAAACTTAGCAAGTTTTCGAAAGACATGTGAATTCCGCCAACACGCACTAGGCCAGTGCGGTGGACTATGGCCTAATCCGCCTCGTACTGAGGGAGGCCCGTGCCCAGCAGTGAGACGTTAAAAAAGGGCTGATGATGAAACCTATTTACATAATTTAAACTAAACAAAAAAAATGATGTCTATAATAACTAAAATTGAAAAAAAAATCAACAATATCCTGCTTATTTTAGTTTAATTAAAATATAAATACCGGAAGCTTACCTCACCTTCATTCTTCCTTTATTTCCTTTGTCTTACAGCTTATTTATGATAAGCCTTTTATTTCCCATTCGAAGATTCTGGGTTTGATTGTCGGCGCAAAATTAAACAATGTCTAAAATGTCATTCATTCGTTCATCGATATATGTATTTTATCGATTACGTTGAACTTTGAAGCACTAGAAATAGTGAATTTTTATGTATTGTCTGTGTTTATAATATTGTAATAAAATCTTTGTGTGCGTTATGCTTCACTTGGTTGAACGAGTTTTCAATTTTTATGCATTTGTATTTTATGTCGGGTCCAGTGGCTAATTCGTTCCTTCTTCTAACATTAAATTTAATATAGCTATATGTACTTATATTAAAATCAGAAAATAATTTGCCACCCGGGCAAATTTTATATGTAATAAAATTATTGTATTTTGCACGTACTGTTAACTTCATTTAATGAAGATCTGAATTCATGCCATTCATTCAGCAAGACTGGAGTAAGCTCATCATCCCATGCCAAGCCAGACTGCCACAATCTTTGGATAAATATTTTGGCGATTATAATAGTAGGTGCGATCCAACCTAAAGGATCATAAAGCCGGGTTATATCTGACAACACCTTACGTTTTGTAATTGGCTCCTTTTGCTCTGGTAAGTTGTAGGAGTATTCGAAATTGTCTGATATTTTATTCCAAGTTATTCCCAGCACCTTGATCATATTGCTAGCCTTGAAAATAAATGAATGATCGGTTCTCTGCTTGTCTCTTTCAATGTGATCTAGTAGTTTATGACTGTTACTGCACCATTTCTGGAGTTGAAACCCACCAGCCTCCATCAACTTCGTCATTTCCTCGTATATTTCAATAGCGTCTGTCTCTGTTTGGCATCCGGTTAATAAATCGTCCATATAATAGTCTTCGCGCGTAATTCTTGCAGCTTCTGGATACTTCTCTTGTTCATCTTTTGCTACTTGTTGTAAGGTTTTCACTGCCAGATATGGCGCACACGAGGTTCCAAAAGTAAGACGCAATAATCGGAAATGTTCAATAGGTCCTTCAGGTTTCTGGCGCCATAATATTCTCTGAAAGTCTGTATCCTGCTCATTTACTAGGACTTGACGATACATTTGTTTAAGATCCGCTACGATACAGTACGGATGTAGTCTCCACCTCATTAGAATGTGTCGTAAATCCTGCTGTAATTTCGGCCCTATTAAAAATGAGTCGTTTAATGAAACATTATTAACTCCCTTACAGGATGCGTCAAAAACTACTCTCACCTTTGTGGTTTCTTTATCTTCTCTCACTACGGCGTGGTGAGGAAGATAAACTGCAAGTGGGTTCTCAATGTCTTCTCTATTTTCTATCTTCTCCATGTGATTTTGCTCAACGTAGTCTTCTAATACGTTTCTGTATTCCATTTCTAGTGATGGGTTTCTCTTTAATCTCCTTTCTAGCAGTTGATATCTTCGGTACGCTATTTCTTTTGATTTCCCATATCTAACTTCAGGATCTATTTTCTTAAATGGCAGCCTTACCACGTAACGACCTTCATCATTTCTCACTGTAGTCTCCTCATAAATTTCTTCACATTTAATCTCTTCTTTTGTTAGTGGTTTCCCTAACATGTCTGGCTCTCTCTCTATTTCCCAGAATTGTTTCAGAAGTAGGTCTTCCTTTACTTGAAGGTGTAGATTTATCATCCTGGTATTGGCTAGCTCCTGTGGTGTCACACGTCCGGACAAGATCCATCCTAGTTTGGTGTTTTGCGCAATGGGACCAATTTTCGATGGATGTCTCAATAATCCGTTAAGCATAATCTCGCTGTGAACTTCTACACCTACAATTACATCTATTTTGCTGGGTTGTCCATATTTTGGATCCGCGAGCGGTAAATTTTCAACCTCGGGCCAATTCATGATAGATGTCTTACTAGAAGGAAGAAAAGATGTTAGTGAACTTAAAACAAAGGCATTGACTTTAATAGAAAACTCTGAATCATGAAGTGATTCTAAATCAAAAACAACCATACTCTTGGTCCTAGACTGACCGTCACCTACTCCAGAAACTAATACCATTAACAGGTATTTTCTTAAGACCTAAAGATTGTACAGTACTCTCACTAATAAATGACGCTTCAGAGCCCTGATCTATTAATACACGCACGATTTGAGAATAGCCATTTGCTGATTTGGCTCTAACTAACGCAGTAGCCAGTAACACCTCTGATTGATTCTCCTCTTGAGCAAAATGAGCTATTATGTTTTTCTCCTTACTCGACTCTTGACTCAGCAATTTCTCAGGACCCTTAGACGAAGCGGTTGCTTCTGGACGTAGACCTCTCTCAAAGTGGAGTAATGTGTGGTGTCTTCTGCCACAACGGCGACAACACGTAGCCTGGTGGCAGCCTCTTACATTGTGGTTGGGAGACAAACAATTAAAGCAATGTCCCTTGGATTGCACAAACTCACTTCTCTCTTCGGGGGACTTGCTACCAAACTGTTTGCATTGGTACAAAAGATGTTGACTCGAACAGTACGCGCATACTAATTTATTATTTTCCTTTTTCTCCTCTAAAACGCTTGAATGAAATGACTTTTGTTTAGATACTTGTTTAGTTGTACTATTTTGAGCAGATTTTGTAGTGGTTTTTACTCCATCCATCATTTCTAATGTCCGGAATCTCATCTCTAAGAACTTAACTAACTGTTCCCATGTAGGCAAATCTTCAAATTTAAAATGACAAACCTCAATCTCCCACTGTCTTCGGGACTCGTAGTCAAGTTTGGATACCACTAAATAATTGATAAGTACATCCCAAGAGTCTGTGTTAATACCTAAATTCTTTAGTGATTTAATACATGAAGTTGTTGTATCGAGTGTTTGTTTAATCGCTGAAGCAGACTCTGTGTTAATACATTTTTGAGAAAACAAGCGTTTCAGTATCTCATTTGCATTATAACGTTTATTATTGTATCTTTTTATCAATTTGTTCCAGGCCTCATCATAGTTATTTCCAATAGTAGATAAATCTCGTAATAGAACCTCAGGTTCACCCGACAAGCTGCTTTTTAGGTAATGAAGCTTCTGAACTGCACTTAGTGTCTGATTCTCATGGATAAGAGATACAAACATATCGTAGAATGTTTGCCATTCCTCATAGACACCTGAGAATGTAGGCAGTTGAATTCTAGGGAGCTTGATTTCCGTTGCAGATGATACCGGTGTAGCTGAGGATGTATTGTATTCAAGGGCGGGCTTGGTTCGGCTTTCTAAATCTTCTTTTAGCTTAGTTTTGTATGTGATATATATTTCTTCTGTACTATCATACATCTCTTCGCTAAAATATTTTAGCATCGTCCGCTCAGACCACTTTACCAAAGCCACCAATTGAAAATGATTGTCCGTAAACTCGTTCCAAGATTTTTCTAAATTCTCTGTTCTAACTTCTATGTATGCTTTCGTCACTCTTTCTTTGGGTGATTTTTTGTAATTAGTAAAGTTTTTAATAATTAGTTCAGCTATAGCGTCTTGTTTGTTCAATAAACCTTCCATTTTCACAAATTACTATTGTTTGTAAAGTCAAACGCAAACAATGAATTATTACTTAGAGAAGATGCAACAATAAACGTCAATTATATATGAACCAAATACTTTTAAATCAAAGTTCTAAAATGTTCGTTTTTTATATTTGTTCACTTAATTTTAACTATTGTTTTTCACACTATATCCCGGGTTTCGGCACCAGATGTATTTTGCACGTACTGTTAACTTATTTACTTTTAACTAAAATAAAATACCACAATGTATGTTGAATGTTGTCAAACTCATTTTATTTCTTTTCTCTAACTGAAGTGTCATTACAACAAATTAAAAAGCTATTGCCAGCCAGTGTAAACTCGATACTAAATTAGCATAAACTTTTTATAACTATATATTAAATTAAACAATTATATATGTGTAAAGTAAATTATATAGGTATTTTCATATATTTCGATTTAGATTTTATATACTATCCATTTGTATATATTAATGAGTATTCATTTTTTACATAATAATACATACCTATCTGTCATAAAAGTCAGGCAGCTAACAGATGTTGATACTGCTAGAGTTGTTTATTTCAGTAACTTTCATAGCGTTTTGACTTACGGAATTTTGTTGTGGGGTAATGCAGCGGATATAAAATCTATATTTATTCTCCAAAAAAGGGCTATTCGGGCAATTTATAACATCGGAGCTCGGGGTACCCTACGAGATTTTTTTAAGGAAGTTGGTGTACTTACGGTTGCATCGCAATATATGTATATATATTGTAATATTATGTTTGTCCGATAAAACATTCATTGTTATTTAAGACAGTGATAGGGCAAGGTGTACGCATGTATAATAGAATTCCACAATCCATTTTGAGCTTGCCATTTAAACAATTTAAATCTAAAATAAAAAATGTATTAGCAAATAAGGCTTATTATACTGTCACGGAACACTTTGTAGATATCAATGTGTGGAACTAATGTCTGGTTGGGTCTCACGTAGAACATATAGATAATAATTATTGTTTTACAATATTGTACACTATTATTATTTTAAAAGAGCGACTGTTAAGTTTCTCACTGGTTCTTCTCAGCAGAACTGCCTTCCGAGCCGGTGATACTGACTACACTGACATTTAATTTAAATTTAAAATGTAAAATTGACGTTTTAAGAGTGCTTGTAAAAGTTTATTTGAATAAAGTATAATTTGATTTGTATATTTTATAAATTTATTTGTCATGTAATAAGGCAGTTAATATCAACAAAATACATATATTAGTATAAAATTACTCAATTGTACATTTAAATTTTAATCATAAAACTTATTTTATAAAAAATATTCAATTACTTAAACCTAGACAATATATTAAGTATAAAAAGATAAAATAAAAGGGCTGACACACATGATTTTAATTGTCAGCGAGCGTTCGCGAAACGCGCATTTTGTACTGATAACCTTAAAAGGGTATATGCACAAAACCTTTCATAAATTAGAAGCATGCAACATGTATTTTAACCCCCCTCTATCCCTACTCCCCATTCCTCAACAGTGGCCCCTCGCATATGCCCCACGCCCCGCTCACTCGTCGTCCCCGCCCCGGTACACTGCGTCCGCCGCCGCCGCTAGCTCGGCCAGGCCGCGCTCCACGGCGCGCACGTCCTGCTGCGGCCGCGCGCGCAGCTGCACGGCGCGCGTCTGCAGCAGCATGTCGCGCATCACGCGCAGCCCCGCCAGCGCCACGCGCTTGCCCGGCACTGTTATCTGCGCACACACACACATTCACTGCGGCGACTGCGCGTCGACACACGTCACGCGCACGTCACACCCACGTCACGCGCACGCGCGAAATCTTACCGCGGGTAACGTCACGAGCGTGTCGCACTCGCTCTCCTCCAGCTTGATCCGTTTGCTCGACGGGGTAGTACTGCTCATTGCGGGGGTGCTCTGGAGGAGGCCGTGGTCAGATGACGATAGAGCGGCGGTTTCAGCTTTGCACATGTCCCGCTTGGGACAACTACAGACTCGCACACCCACAATCTGACGGCCGTACACGTTGCCTCTGAAAAAAATAATATAATTAAATTTATTATGAAAGCAAAACTTTTTCGTTTCCGATCGGCTCAACGGAAGAAATAATCACAATGCACTATAGTTGTTGTGTTTTAATTACGGAACAAACTTATACTAGGTCACCTAACTAACTCTTCCCTATGGACAGTAATTGAAAATGTGAGAGTAAGGAAGAATGTGTCTGTTGACGAAGGAGTACCTCTGGTTTGTGGTGGTGGTGGCGAACAACGAGGATGAAAGGCAACTCACGCGGCACTCTCGAGAGTGAAGACGAGGCTGAGCGGCCTGCGGTTGATGCCGGAGCTACAGCTGTTCCTGCACACGAAGTGGAAGGCGTGGGAGGAGGGCGCGGGGAAGCGCACCAGCACCGAGTACCAGGAGTCGGTGCTGGCGGGCGCGCCGCAGTAGAACACGTCGGGCGCGCCCACCTCACGCCCCGACCGCAGCACATTGTGACGGATGTTCTCCGGCAATGCTGTAGACCAAATGCAAAAACTTACAAATAATCGCTTCCCTACCGGTTTTCCAAGTTACTTGAGGTCGACATGTTATATCTTCCTCTTCAGTTCTCTTATTACTTGTCACCACAACATTTACTACTTTCTCTTTCATGTCCTGTCTCACATAATCTATCCATATTTTCTTTAATCTTTCTCTTCCTCTTCACACATCTCCATTCATTTCCATCCCTCTTCTTTTCACATGCGTTTCATGCCTCCACATCACATTTCCAGAACAACTCAGATCTTCTTTTAACTTCTCTGCCACTTTCAAGCTTCCTCTTATGTACTCATTCCTTATTTTATCCAATCTGATCACTCCACACATTCATCTCAACATCTTGGAATGAGACACTTTGTACAGACCTGCAGCCGCAATAAAGCAAGCAGTGGTGACGATTACGGATGTGCAAATTCTTGTGTGTACTTCTACACTTTTCGCAGAGCTTTGAAAAATGGCATATAATATATTAGCTTTATAGGTAATATTAGCTTTTTTCCTTTATAGTTCTTGATGCACTCAATTACACCGCGAATCGGTTTAAATCCATGATTTATAAAATTCATCCTGTATAAAAATGTGGCGTAACATTTCATGTTAAAAAAAATATACACATACCTTTCACACCATCACAAGACGCATAATGCTGGTAGCAGGCCTCCACTCTCTTCTCAGCATCACAAGGGGCGGAGAACACCACTGTAGCGCGGACATACACTGGGTGGAGTACCTTGCTGGTGTCCCATTCAAAGTTCACCGAGAAATTGTGTCCAGAGTTCACGAATAAGCAGTTCAATTTTTTGGAATACTGAAAAAAAAAGTAATCTCAATGACTTTGACATTTCACAGATAACATATTGATATTAATGTCTCGAGCGAGACTTAAACTAATTTCTGTCGATAAATAGACCGATAGGAATCCGTTTATTTTTAAGTGAAAAAAATATATCATTGAAACCTGAAATTTTATATTTTAAAACGGTAGCGGGTATACAAGGAATAGAAATCTGTAAAATAGGGTATGCAAAGTGTTAAAAAATAGTTTTTTTTTTCAATTTCCGGCTTACTGTGACGTCCTATCGATAAATGTTTTGTACAAAAGTTGTAGGTCTAGTAAAAATCTACAACTTTTATAAGCGACACTTTTTACAATAAGCTCAAACTTTACGAGATATTTGCAAAAAAAACTCGCTTTTTAATTTTTTCTTGTTTTTTTTTATTTTTAATTACTGCAAAAATCTTTTGATTTTTATGAAACTAGGGGAATGTAATCTTTGAAATACATATAATAAGCATTTTTTTTATTAATTTAAATACTTAGCCGTTTCAAAGAAATTTGTTTCATTGTCTCGGGAGGCTCAAAATCACCCCCAACTTCAAATGGATGTTTACATTTAAAAAAAAATCGTTCAATATTCAAATAGGGCTCATTTTAATTGTCTTTTATTATTTTAACTTTACTTTTTGAAGAAACAAAAACACTGTATGGTCGTCCTGTAAAAACACCCTTAAAATTTTTTATATAGTTATTTTTATATAATTTCGAGAAATGCTAAAACACGTATTTATTTAATTTTATTAAAAAAACATTAATACCAAGTCTTAAGTAATTCTGATCATTAATATCTTTTGGGATTGTATTATAACGTGTTTTTCGTGGGAATTAAATAATCCCCCGCGGTAATAAATAGCCTATGTCACTCTCCAGAACTCAAACTATCTCCACACAAAAAATCACGCCAATCCGTTTCGATGTGAAAGAAGGACAAACAAACAAATAAACAAACACAATTTCGCATTTATAATATAAAGTACGGATATAATGTCGCCGTAAACATTCCAACTTTGCAATTTGACGAGTTGTGGAAAAATAAAAGAAAAAGGAAGTCACGTAAAATGTACCTTTTTTTGACCTGAAGTGACGTCATAAGGTCATGAACCCTGTCGACCTAAAACTACGCTTATCAATTTGAAGGTAGGTAGTCTGTTATTCGACGAGGATGCCAATACGATGGCTGTGATGGAGATGTTGTTCCATGTGACGGCCTCCACGAGTGATACAGCCTTGACACTATCACAAAAGGTTATCATGGACACTTTCAAGCACATTTGTGTCTGATTTTATCTGTTCAAACACTGCCACAATACGTCCACGCATTTCAGCTTCGGTGTCACAGATTTTCATAAACACAAATTGTTTGACGTGACCCCACAGATAAAAATCAAGCAGAGTCCATTCTGGAGACCGCGCTGACCATGAAATTGGTCCACCCCTACCGATCCACTGCTGTCCATACTGCTGGTTTAGATAGTCACGCACGGCTCGGGAAAAATGTGGTGGGGCACCTTCGGCTCGAACCACTTAGACCGATGAGCAGCTATATCCAAATCTTCTAATACTTCATCTAGGTCCTCTTGTAAAAACGATAAATAATTCGTTCGTTCGTTCGTTCGGCCAATGATTTCGTCACCGAGTATACCAGCCAAAACGTTTATTTGCCAATGTTGTTGAAAATGGCTTGGTTTAATGGCGTAAGGATTCAGCATCGAACACACATGTTCATTCCGGTTGTTAAAGACGCCTGTTCTATGAAAAGAACATTCATCGCTGAAAATAACCTTTTTCAAAAATTCTGCATCCTCTTCGATTTTCCTTAAAATCCATGCACATTGCACAATATTCCTCTCTAGGTTCATAATCACTGGGTAGTAAAGCTTGGACAAGACGGTAGTGGAAAGGCCATTTTCTTTCAGCACTTTCCACATCTGAACGTAGTTAGTGCCTGATTGTCGTGCCACAGAACGAGTACTTCGGGTGGGGTCCTCATTAAATAACTGAAGCAGCTGCTCCTCAATATCCATGTCGATACGCGGTCTTCCTGTATCAGCGTGATGCGTTTCGTAGCCGTGAACACTGCCCGTGGTGTACATACGATTGTGAAGACGTTGAAACGCACGCTCTGTCGGCACCGTGGTACTCCGCGGAACTGCGAAACGCATTTCATAATCTCTACGAGCCTCGGCATAATTGCAGTCACTTCTCCCCAAACACATTAACATCTTAAAGTACTCTTCATTCGTATACGACATAGTTAAAACTCAATTTCTCCAACACGTGCACTCGGATGCAATGTTTCGCGAAACTGACATATCACATAATTTTAATTTTAAGTGAAATAAATAAAACGTCAAATAGGCAATTAGTGATCGTAAGTAGGTAATTCTAGGTCGGGATAGCCCCTACAAGTGCCACGCGGTACCTTTAACAACGCGCGGCGCATCGTCTGTCAGCATACATCAAAGATGACGCCGCCACATGATTAACATAATACCGCGGAAATTATTGTTGTACATTTTAAAAATTTCCTTCAATTTTAGGGAAAATAGCAAAATAAATGAACATTTTAAATTTCATTAATGTGTTTACTATCATGAATATTTTATGTCTCTTATTTTATTTGGTCATGTGATTGGGATACCTATAAACTGGTTTCCGAATGGAGAGGGTTTTTATAACACACTGAGGGAGGGAGAGAGAAACAGAGGATGCCATGTGTACTCTCTGTTCCTTTCAATCTCAAACTTTAATAGGATGATTTTAGTTATTTTTAACAGAAAAATCCAACAACTGGCCCGACTCAAACTGGAACTTAACTACACTTAACTTACAATCTGCAACTTTATGTATTAACCACTGAACTGAACAAGCTTTATAAGAAGTAAATATATATCACATAATAGATGAGATAATTTTATTCATTTTATTTTTCATTCACTTCCAGAGCATAAATAACATACCATCATTTCACCCCAATGATTGAATGAGTACAATTTATAAAAAATAAATAAATAAATGTGTTAGGACATAAACACACACCACCATCTAGTTCTATGGTAAGCTACGATGCCTGTGTTATGGATACCAGATAGTTGATACACTACACATACATAACTTTAAATACATACATATTATAAATATAAACACCCATGACTGGAGTATAAACATTTGTGCTCATCACACAAATGAATGCCCCCAGCAGGACTCGAACCCGCGACCGCTGGCACAGCGAGTAGTCACTACAAACTGAGCCAAATGTGTCATCGAATGTAGTATTTTACTTACCAAAAACTTTTTCTTTTGTGTATTAGATCCATCAATTTCAACTCGAAAACAGCTATCTCCTGAATATACTATCGTACATGGCGGACCTGTAGGGGAAACCTAAAACATAAAATAAATATTGATAATTTATCTTTTTCCAAAATAAGTAATATCAATCATAGTATTAATTGGAATATACATATATTATAGAACTGCCCACTGAAATAAAGGTAGCAGAGTCCCACACAAGACATTGTATTTAAGATTCAATTTATTTTATTGATCAATTTTTCGAAGTTGTTCCTATTATATTATTATATATAGGAATACAAAAGTGCCAGTGATTATTACAAATTATTCTTATAAGCATATTTTTATCTATTTTTAACCCACGACGCAAAAACGATGGGGTCTTATAAGTAACGTGTCTGTGTGTGGCATCGTAGCTCCCGAATGGATGAACCGATTTTGATTTATTTTTTGTTTGAAAGGTGAATTAGCCGGGAATGTTCTTTGCTATGTTTGATGCAATTTTTTTAATTTTTGACTTACTTATCTATATCCATTAGTTGGCTGTGGGTAGAAAGTAATGTGTTAAGAGTGTACACACTTTGTTTTAAATGTGACAGTAACTCACTATTTTGATAAATATAATTTTGATAAAATTTGGCAAGAACATGTATTGCATCCTGGGCACTGACATAGGACAGTCTCTAACTCCATCCTACTTACCATGTGAACAAAGCCATTGGCAAAAATTAAAAGTCAAATAAATCAAGTGAACATTTTAGTCATATACAAAGTTAAGACAGAAATTTTTAATTAGGGGCAAAGTTTTTTTTATTTATTTTTACACTGAGTTTTTTTTAATTTTTGCAATAATATTATGATAATAAAATACACCTTTATTTCGACATGATTTAAAATAAATTTGAGTGCGAACTGTATATTTTTTTTACACTTAGATATTTAATTGTGTTTTATTATTCTAGAACCTTTATAGATTATAGTTGTATATGAAATGTTTAGTTTACACTACCTGGAGAACCTTATCTGTATGCCTTTTGTTGGCAAAGGTCTAATATTTCCTATATAAGTGTCAGCAGTGGTACATGCACCACCTGCCACAGCTCTTATGACATCAACCCATCTTTGGAATAGTCTACCATATCCATACCCCTTTTTTCTTTTAATTTGCAATGACATACTTTATAAAAAATAATATATACTCACAGGCACAAAGTCAACTGGACTTAGAGAATCATTTAATTTTTTAATTGAATAGAGCTCATGGATATCACCCAAGCTTGTACTGTAAGTAAATATAATGAAAAAAGTTTAGCAGAAATAAATAAATACATTATATTTATACATATATCTTATTCTATGTATAAGTATTTATATACATACTTTATTAAAATATCATTATGATGAACAAAAGGATCAATATTAATGTCCTTCAGATGATGTTCAATATTGCTATACATGTTTACCTGGAAAAGTAATATTATACTTTAGTGTAAAAAATATTTGTTATCTTAACTGAATAATATATAAGGAAAAAAATTAAAGTAAATTACACATTTTTAAATCTAATCTACGTATATAAATTTTAGAAATCTTGGCTCAACTGTACAATCTATGACATCGAGTTGAAACTTCATATTTTTTTCACTAAAAGATCTCTCTATTAGAAGCCTATATATAAAGTTTGAGACCGCGGAAACAAATAGTTTTGTCGAAAAAAAAAATTCAAGTTTCAACTTTTTATGTAATTTTACCACATTTATACACGCACTTATCGATGTTTTTCACAAAGTTCGTTACAATATTCTATGTTCTGAGTTATTATCAATCATTGTTGTAGTTAAATACATAATTTAATAGTTAAAATCTTGATTTATTTGTACGTAATAACAAATGTAAACTGGTACATAGTATATTGGTAATAAGTCCATGATTGGTAATGAGATATGTCAATGTCAGAATTAGCTAAATAGGAAAAGCGACGCCTATTTGAAATGTCAGTTTTAGTGTCAGTTGCAATTGTTTTTTATTTCCACGCAGGAAAGCTTTATCAAAATAGGTTTGGGTTATTTTTTGCCAGAAACCTTTCTTTCTAGGTTGGTTAGGTTAGAACAGGTAAAACAACGCCAGAACGACTAGAACTTTTATAACTTTTCATAATCCGTAGCCACTTTTTCCGGTACCTATTAATAAACATGCAAAAGTTGTCTTAAAAGTTAAAACTGTCACCAATAATTTGTGTTTAGGTAATTATTCTAGTTGAAATATAAAACAATGTAAATTGAACCTTAGTGCAGTGCTTAGTTGTTTTTACAATAATTTAACCTCAAAAATTGAAATTTTGAAAATCAAATATCTCAAAAACTACTAGCCTCCGCGGTTTTTCCTTTATAAGGGGAGTTCCTCTCACCTCTCCCCTCCTCCCCCACCATCTTTCCTCCCTTAAATCGATGTCATAGATTGTACAGTTCAACTGAAATCTTAATTGACTGATGCAAACAAATTACTAATTTATTTTAAACTACACAAAAATTTGTTAATTAAGTAAATTTGTATTGGATCTATTTCATGTAATGTCTGTTTGTCTTCAGAGTTTTACTTGTATAAACAACAGATATTAAAATACTAGTACTTGAAATAAAAAATACGTATTTCCATTTTGTATTTAATACTTTTTTTAGAAAAGCATTTTGCATTTTATTTGAAATACCTTTTAAGACATATCTATACATTGCAAACTTACTAATAAAGTAGAGAAAGTTAAAAACTTTAAAAGTACCTACATATTTTATTTTAATAAAATATTTTGGAAATAAGTATTTTGTATTTATAGTATTTTAAATACAAAATGAAAAACTATTTTGTATTTGAAATAAAAAATACAAAAAGTATTTGCATTTTGTATTTAAATACATTTTATAAGCAATTTGCACAGCTCTGATGCTGTAATGAATTAAAAATGTCTCATCTCTGTACGGCACTAATATATTTTATCAATTTTAAAGTGGTTTATCCTTATAGAACTTACCAATATTTACTTGTGTCCAATTTAAAAGCTAAAAATTATTAATAACTATTTTTCTGAATGTATGATACGAATCAATGGTTCACATTTGAGGCAGGTACTAGTTACTCGTTTTCTCCAATTCTGATTTTTATTCGTTACTTTATAGTAATAGAAAACACGACTAATCCCAGACATGCACAAATAAATAAACGTTGAATAATGAATGTTGATATTTGCCATTTGGTAGTTGCCAGTTGATTATAACCATAGAGTATATTGCTACATAATATGTAAAGTTATAACATAGGTAAAATAGTTTATCATAGACCATAGAGTATGTAACCCTTTTTCATAGACCAAGAGGCATGAAGTAAAAACAACAGCTTTGACTTTTGAGTTTAATTTAATACTAGCGGCTCACCCTCGCTGTCGCTTTCGCTCGCCCATGGGAACCGTTCATTTTTCCGCCATAAAAAGTAGCTTATTTATTATTCTAATGTATGAACTATAGGTATTATTGTAGTTTCATTAAAATGTAATCAGTACTTTTTGTGTACTAAGCTGTATAAGTTACTATATTTTTTTACTATCCCACGGGAACTCTTTAATTCTCCGGGATGAAAAGTATCTAAAATGTTGACCGGGGATATAAAGTACCAGCGTGCAAAATTTCATTTAAATCGGTCCTACAGTTTCGAAGATTAGCCCGTACAAACAGAGAAACAAAAAAATTGAAAAAGAAAACTTTTAATGTATACTTTTGATTATGTAATTATAGCGAATGTTATGTACATTTGTAGACATATCTGATTAATTATTATTGTCTTCTAAGTTTGTAGAAATGTTTTAATAAGTGTGTTGTTAGTGTACTTTTTTCTAAATAAATAAATAACGGAAAATAATGAAACTCATTCATAGTCTAATCTTGTTTATTCATTATTCAAAAACATTTACAATTACAAGTTAATATATATTATTTGAAGCTAAAGCACCATATCGTAATCAATTATTTAGTATATTTATCAGTACATATTGTCAATTATGACATACTTTTTTATTGTTAAATATTTAAATTAACACCAAAATCGATTAAAAATTGGCAAAATATAGATAAACCAAAAAATAATAAAGAATATATTCTACGGGAAAAAAATACAAAAGAAAAGGTATACTTTACGCGACTTCTAATTTTTTTATTTTCCACGACTCGTCAAATTGCAAAGTTGGAATGTTTACGGTGACATTGTATGAATAATAAGCGTCAAATTAAAAACTTAAACATACTGTTTTTTTTTTTCGTTTTTTCCCGTAAAATTTATTGTTTAAAAAAATACTTTTACTTATAAATAAAAAGAAACGTTAAATTCATTTACATTTAAGTCATGCTATTAAAGAAAAATACCCCTAAAAAAAAACTCCGGCGCCATTTTTACTCCTAAATTTGGGGGGAAAACCTCTAAGTTCACTTCCACTGACGTATAATAAATGTTATTTTGACTTGTATGTGGAGCAGCACAGATTAGGAAATTACAAAATGTCAAAAGACATACTTTTGACGTTTTGTAATTTCATATTATACTTGCAAACATTTTAAAATCATAAAACTTAAGGTTTTCAATATTTTTTTTCTCTTAAAAATAAACGGATTCCGATTGGTCTATTTGTGTTATCTAGCTATATTTCTCTTCTTCCATGTCAAAATTTAAAAATTAAGTGATTATAAAACATTCCACTTTTATTACTCACACCAATAAAAAAGTATTTTATTGGTCGAGTTTTATTATTCAAATAAAACAAATATATTTTTACTATTTATTTCGTTTTTATTAAATACTAGCGGCTAACTCTTGCTTCGCTCGGGTATGCCTCTAGGAAAACAAAAACAGCTATCCCACGGGAACCGTACATTTTTCCGGGATAAAAAGTAGTCTACGTTATTCCAGAGTATAATTTATCTCGTGCCAATTTCATCCACATCCGTTGCCATTCTGGTGTGAAAGAGTAACAAACATCCATACTCACAAACTTTCACATTTATAATATTAATAAGTATAGATACGGATTATACTTAATCAAGGGAAAACTCTGATAGATTTTAAGAATAATAAAATTGCCTGGCATTTTTATTTATTATAAAAACTCTTTACAGTAATATTTATTTATTTATTTATTAATCCTTTATTACACCAAAAATAAAAATACAATATAAATGAATATATAACTTAACAAATATTAGTGTAAAGGCGGCCTTATCACAAAAGTGATCTCTTCCAGGCAACCTATATTATAAAGAAACTTAATTAACTTTTTACCTACATTTTAAGATATTTTATAAAATAAAACTTAAATGTATGCTTTCAAAATTATTTGTGTATGAATTCTTACTTTTCAATAGACGAGTTGCCAAAAGCATATAAAAGAATGTAATTATAAAAGCATGCAACTTATATGGATTTGTACATAATATGTTGACACTTTCAATGAAAAGCAATGTGAAGATTGTATCTTATAATGTAACTTTATAACAATTTCAAGTGTCCTGTCACTTTATCAATAACATTCTTTGGTGCAGGCCCTACACCAAGCACTGTAATAGAATTAGGGGCTATTTGAGTCCTTCCCGCATCTCTTATGAGTGATGTAACAAGTCCTAATTTTTTAGCATTATCAGCTATTTGTTTGATTTCATCTACTGAATCTGTTTTAACTGCTACTTTAGCTTGGCCTGTCAATTGCCATATTTTTAGTCCTTCTGGATCTCTTTTTAAGGCTTTATCATATGCACCAACTGCAGCATGGCTGCATTGAGCTGCAATTTTACCTTTACCCATGCCCAGATCTGTCCTCACAACCAAAACTAGTTTATATTCTGAATCTGTTGCTATCTGCAAAAAATAGTGATTTGATCTATAACAATGCTGACATTAAACATTTTTTTATGATACATATTTTTATTCAAATTAAATATTCTCTAAATGATGCTGCATTACTATTGAATTTCTATTTTAAGTTACGTGGGAATACACGTTGTGGTGATGAATGAATAATGACATTAGACTACTATTTTGAACGAAATATATCCAAATAAGTAACATACCCTTTTTGCAGCTTTAACAGTATTTGAAACTGACCCAAAATATTTAGTTAATGCATACAAAGATATACCAATGCATAAGCCGCATCCTAACCCGGAAAAAAAAGATACATCAAACTGCATTTTTCTTTTGTCCGAAATGTTTAAGAATTAATTGTACGAACGAGTTTTAAAAAAAGCTTATATTTGATTAAAAATTGCTAAAAAAATTAATTAAGATTAGATAGTAATCAAATTATCGATAGATTTTAAATTTATAACCTAACTCGGAAAAAATATCTGAATTCTGACGTCTCTCACGTCTGACAAGTGACATTTTTGCTTTGACATTGACATTTGACTAACTGAAAAGCTTCAAGCTTGCCATCCGTAAATAACATACTATAGTGAAATATAAATAGCTGAAAATAGAAATTTTATTAATGAAGATTATACAGAAATTAAAAATACATCAGTCTTAAAATTTGGTACAAAATCAAATTAAATTATTCTACAAAAGAATTTTATTTGTATTATGCCAAAGTAAATATTTTAGGGAATTATTATATATAATATAATTATTATGATTATGATGAATTATATTAATTATTGTGATTATCTTATAGGTTATCGTAAAACATTTTTGAAGTAGGTATTATATGTATATATGTATATGCATATATATATATATATATATATATATAAAATTTTATCCTATTTACGTGAATTGTATTCTTTTTTGAAAAATAAATTCTTAAACTGTAAATTATAACTCCCATATTAAATACGTTAAATTTTCGTAAATCCCTAAACAATGTTAAATAAAGTGCATACAAACTTCAGATAAATCGATCATCTCCTATATGCCTGCTATTGATAAGCTTGCGCCATAAGAAATTGCTTGCGAATATAAGATAAGTACAAAAAATATATTATTATTATTAATTTGTCTAATGTTGCCAACATTAATATTCTATCCTTATAGCAACGAATTGTTATTTCGATTTTCGATATTGTAGTATAATTTTTGAGGTAAAATATTTTCATAAAAAATGAAGAAAACAATGAAAGATTTAGCACCCATAGCCATCCCTCATGGCCCGCTTGTTGAGTCCACTGCAGAATATTATAAATCCTTAATGGAAACTTCGCAGATGGTCAAGTACGTGGTTCTGAATTCTGATAAGAATTATGCTATATGATAAAGTCCGTGGTAGTCCAGAGCTAATGCAATTGAATATCATAATATCTTGAATACCAAGTGAAGCGGGTTCAAGCCTCGGGTCTCACACTTCTGATATAAATACATGTGGGAATTATTTTCAACATGGTTACGATCGAAGGGTCGTACGTACGGTCGTTGTAACTTCTTACAGTGAAGGAAACGTTGTGAGGAAGCCTGAATTTCTGAGTCTGCCACTTGATCAGCATGGTGGACTATAGCCTGGCCATCGAGGGGAGGCCCGTGCCCAGCAAAAGATTGTTAAAATAGGCTGAATGAGATTTGACAAAAATTGATATCAGTTAAGAGCTTATTATTAAAAATAAATTACAATAAGTGTAATTCCCGGCAACAATTCGTACGAAATAAATATATACATTTGTACATATATACATGTATCTAATACCTACTACTTATATGTATGTTTATGTCCTCTTCGAACATCGGAAAATTATTATTTACGTATCGGGTGAATTGCGATGTCGATTGTTAGATGAGAAATTCCCGAACTTTCCTTTTATTAATGGATGTGATCGATTACATTTATTTGTTTTTTTTCTATGTTTCTAATAGAAAGTATCCAGTATGGGACGTAGCGCGTCCAACACCGCAAGTGCTGATGGAACAAGCTCGACGAGACCTGATGGAAGCAGACGAAAAGCTGATGCTTAAGAGGGACGAAGAACGTGCAAATCGGGAAAAGATGAATGCTAAGTGGCAGGATCTCCGCGAAAAAGAGATGCTCTTAAAAGAGTCTTTTATCAGTTTTAATAAAGTATATTCTTATGAAATAAATTACGGTTCCTTTTTTACTAGGGCAAATTTTGAATTAATTTAAATGCTTTGAATAAACATATCTCATGTTAAACATATTTACGACATTTAAATAATTTTGGTACACGTGACCTCGAATGTAATTATTTTATATTTTTTTTGGTTTTATATTATTTTTGTATGTTTGACAGTTTATAAGGGAAAACCAAGAGAAGCGTGAACGAGCTGATCGCAAAATGCATGCAGATAACGAAGTGCTAGAGCGCAAGACTAAAGAAACTGAAGCGATGAGGCAGAGGGTTCTGGAAATGGAAGAAGTAAAGGCGCTGATGGAGAAACAAGTGAAAGATTACACTATTTATGAGGTTACCATATTTTACTCAGTTAACATTGATTTGTAATAGTAATTAAACAAAGAATTATTATTTATAGCTGGTTGGCAAAAGTTATCTAAATATCCGTCGTAGACGCGAGCTTGACTAGCGATCTAGATTTTCTCGATGTTATGGGTGTATACTGTATAGGTACTGTATTTCCATATCCTATCACTATTAATACATGGAGATGCTCATTGTATCGATCATTTAATTGTTTGCAGGACTATCTCATGTCCGTCGTACATAACTATCCCGAATTTAAGCAACCACTGGACGTACTTAATCGATATGAAGCCTTAGGTAAAGATTTTTCAAGTTACATTATTCTATACAACATATACACATCCACACATACAATTTAATATATTACTAGTATTTATTTAATTTCAAATAGTCGCGACCAAAATTTCCTTAAAATCAGAAGAAAAAAGCTACCTTTAGAAATGTATCAAGTGATTTTTATATAGAAATAACTTACACGGTGGAGAGCGACGTAGGTCTCTTTTAATTTTGTTTTATTATGAGGGACTACGAGTATATTATACTTTTCTATTGGCGGTGTGTAGATTCCATATCGACAAGTTGCTATAATTCACTGCATTATGCACTTGTGATAATGTTCACTCTTTAAAGTATTAGCTGGCCTTTTAGACGTTTTCTACTGTTTTGTACAGTAAGGCACCTATGAAATTCGCTAGTAAGTGAATATCTTTCTTTATCTAGTTTTATGTATGTATGTCATCGATCAGAAAAGTACAGATAATAATCAGTGACAAAAATATCCTTACCGAATGAGCGCTCATTTGAACATTTGAGCGCGTTTTTAATTATTTTTTTTGTGAAATCAACTTTACACATTGCATTTAAGGTTCAATTTATATTGTTGTTGGTATATTTGTTTCGACTAGAATAATTACCTAAACACAAATGGTGACAGTTTTAAGAGAACTTTTGCATAGGATTGTGTATCTAGTATTTTTTTGATCGATGATGTATTTATACATAGCCGCAGCAAAAAGTACTCTCGCAGAACGTCAAGAACGAGATCTTGAAATGTTGGAAAGTGCTCGTCAAGAGATAGCGGCTTTGACTGAGGAGAAGAAACTCTTTATCATGGGCCTGAACAACACTCTCGCGGACCTCAGAGTGAGTTATACTTTAGTTTATATAATCATCAAATTATTTTTTACTGGCAATTGACTTAAACAAATAATATATTTTCTTTTTAGTTTGATTTGAGATTGAGTTTTAATGATTGCTTTTTCTAAACTTTCTACTCCAGAATTAGTACATAAACTTAGCATAAGTTAGTTCTTTATAGCTTAAGTCCTATTATTCAGCAGCAAGATTGATACAACTTTCAATTTTTGTACATCTTGCTTATACCTATCTCTTCTAATATAATTAGTCATACAAGTGAATCCAGTCCTAATCATAATTATTTTAAAACTAACATAAAATTATAATTTTTTTCAATAAAATTCAGTGGAGATATGATAAAGTTCGCAATCGGGTCCTAAAATGGGAGCTGGCACTCAATCGTCTAAAGGAAACAGCAGCAAAAAGACACGTGGAACTTTGTCACGTCCGTTCGGCAATATGGAGTCTGTATGTGAAGATCTGCAAACAGAAAGGTCTGGCGGTGGACGTCAAACCCAATGATTTTGAACAACAATTAGTGGTTATAATGCGAGCGTTGTTAGAGTTGAGGAGAATTTATAGAATCGCGCAACGCAGGTCCAAGGAGAAGTGAGTTTTTTGTAAATTATGTTTATTTGGTTTTGAAAGCGTTGCAATTTATAGTGTAACGAGTTTAATTTTATAATACACTACTAAACACAAACTAGTGGACCCATTAGGCAGATGTCTTGCCACAGATCTCATTTGGTCGGGAAATTAATTACATAATACTTTTGAATGTTAAAAACAGCACCACTTACAGGGTCCAACTATAGCTAAGACCATATTTTTTTAAAACCGGGTTAGCCTTTTAAGAAGGGGAAGGATCATAAATAGTCTATATAGGCTAAGATACATATTAAATATGGCGGTGCGAGATAATTTTGATGGCTATTTATCTGCATAAACTGTTAAGGTGAATAAAACATAATGTTAGTCAATGTCAATAGATAATTTATTTATTTTCAGGGATGCAGAGTCAACACAAACCTCATAAATCAACGAGTACAAGTTTTCACCAGAAGTTTCTTTTAATAAATTATATTTTTTTATAATGTCAACTTTTATTTTCCTAAAATTTAAACGAATTTAATTACTCTGAGTACTAAGCCACTAACAAATTCTATTCTTGGTTTGGTTAGAATTTGAAAAAAAATAGACATGGTGTACTTCACAATACACTCTAAGTGAGGGATATAAAGTAAATATCTAAGATTTGCCTTCATTTCTAATTCATCTCCATCACAAATTTGAAGTAAACAATTTGAAGCAAACATTTGATTTCTTTTATATAATACTAGCGGACCCGACAGACGTTGTCCTGTCTACACGTCTTTAATTTGAAAATTTCAAACTTTTTTTAATAATTTTTTTGATGAAAATTATTATTCAAATTGTGAATCTAAACCATTCCCAGATCCCCTTGAACACACACAAAAAATTTCATCAAAATCGGTCCAGTCGTTTGAGAGAAGTTCAGTGACATACACACTCACAGAAGAATTATATATATAAAGATGTACATTGTACATATATTATACTTATATACGCCAGCCACCGCTGAAAATTTTATAAACCTCAGTAAAGTGGCTAATTTGCAACAATTAACAAAAGTTTATAATTGCTTTTAATGTTTCCAATTAGTTAAGTCTATATATATAAAAGAAAGTCGTGTTAGTTACTTCGCTTATAACTCAAGAACGGCTGAACCGATTTAGCTGAAAATTGGCAGGGAGGTAGTTTAGAGCCAGGAGAAGGACATAGGATACTTTTTATCCCGTTCGACCGCGTTCCAATTTTTATGATATTTTAATTTTTGGATTTCTCTTAGTCCGGAATAGGTAAGTATTAAAACATATAATTAAAATGTGAGAAAGAAAGATTTTTTCTTTTTATATCTATTTAAAACGTACCTAGCGACGAACCCGAGCGAAGCGAGGGTGAGCCGCTAGTTTCTAATAAGAAAGAGTTAAGTTTGGTTCTTTCGAAATTAAGCTCTTTTTACACTTGACGAAAATTATGTTTCTGGGGTTTTTCAATGCCTGGTTTTATTTTATTTTTAACTAGGAAGCGTAAAGTCTCATTTGGAGGAATAAAAATTTGCGAAATTACAAAGTATTAATCTCAGTAGAGGTGTAGACTATACAAAATGATTTGACCGACACTCGTAAGTGTGATGAGAAGAATAATGGATGCCATTGAATACGATCATTACTATTGACCCACACGTACAAAAACTGTTTCGGGTAGGTCAATATGCTCTCTTACTTTAGCAATTTTAAACGATACACATTATAGGTTTTAAATATAAAGCTTTGTACCGTTTATGCTACATATTTCATAACCACTTCTCCTAAGGTTGACACAAGTTTTCTATAATTTGGTGTAGGTTATTTGCTTTAAAAATGAAAAAAATATTTATCAAAACATCTGAAACAAAGTGTACATTAAACAACGAGAAGGTACCAGACTTTGTCCACTTCATGGAAATGCCGTTGAAATGCGTGGCATGCTGGGATTGGTTCAAGAAGCCAAAAAACGAACTTGAAATTTTCTTAAACAATATTTACTTAAGCCTTGTTCTGTTTGTTCTATTAAATTTGCCACTTTCTTTAATTGTTCATTTATATACTGAATGGACGGATATTATGTCTAGTTTGGACAAAATGGCTGACGGACTGCCGTTGCTAGCTTCTGTATTAATTGTGTCATATTTTGCAACTTACAAAGACGAGTTATATGAATTGGTTGGGTACATGAATAAACATTTTAAATGGCACTCAGCTAGAGGTTTGACGAACATGACCATGTTGAAGAGTTATAACACGGCCAAGAACTTTGCATACTGGTATACTGGCTGTACGTTATTCAGTGTTACTATGTACGTGATTTTACCAGTTCTTGTGCACCGTAAGTATTTTGTTTTAATAGCCTTTGCCTACAGCTTTGTTCGCGTTTGTATTGCTATTAAATTTGCAACTTCAGCCATCAAATGCGTGCGTGACTTGTGAACAGCGGGGCGCGCAATTTTTACGATTATAATATGTCCCTACCTCCATAACTTTAAATGAAACATTATATTTATACCTACCTATTTAATTTAGATAATAATTAGTATAATAAAAAGGTCTGTTAAGTAAGCTTGAAAGCCAATTAGAGTTATTAATTATAACGTACCCAAACACCCAAAAATTCAAATCTTTTTTACTAGTTTGGACTAAGCAGCCTCTTCAGCCGTGGATTTACATGGATATGACGAGTACGCCTTTTATTTTCCTGGTCTTTTTGCGTCAGTGCTTGGCGCAGGCATTCGTAGCTCTTGCTGTCGGACAACTTGGTATTTATTTTAATAGTAATAAGTAATAACAAAATCTATACATATAATAAAATTGTAACTAAGCCGAATATGTACATTAAATATTTTACGGAAAATCTTATTGCAATAGACATTATTATCGATACAGAGGCCGTATCCATAGTTTTTAGAATTTTTGTCTGTCTGTCTGTTACCGCATCACGGAAAAACCAGTGGAGATTTTGATGAAATTTGGTATGGTTATTCGGGTCAACATATAGAATACTTTTTATCGCGGGAAAATGTCTCATTTCTGAGAAAAAATACAAAAACTGCAATGTGTATACTAATATATAAAACCTAAGAATATAGGTTTTGGTCATCTGAACGCGGGCGGAGCCGCGGGCAATGCTAGTTGCCTATAAAATTGTAAATAAGAAATTTAAAAAAATGGGTAATTACGCATGTTTCTATGGCACAATATACAATTATTCTGTAGTCCCCGACCATGCATAGTGGAGGATTTTGAAAGGCGGCAATTTGCCGTAGCAGATGCACATCCATCTTCGAATCCACCCTATCCATGGCTATCAATACTGTTACTCTAAAAAGTAAATAAAGAAAATAATATTTAAAACTAGCGCCTTACCCTCACTTCGCTCGGGTTCGTCCCTAGGTTGATTCCCCACATACAAACTTTGATCCCTTTAAGGGATGATTTCCGGAATAAAAAATATCCTATGTCAATTTCCAGGATTTCAAACTATCTTCTTACCAAATTTCACTTAAATCGGTTTAGTGGTTTTTCAGTTTATTCGTTACAAACATACAAAAATACAAATCTGTCCTCTTTATAATAGTAATATAGTGTAGACTAGCGGTTCACGTGTAGACTAGCGGCGTCCCTAGGTGTGTTTTAAATAGACATAAATAGTTATTAGCCAGCGTCAGCCAAGCAAGTGTTAATCTTTTTATTTCGTGAATTTTTCCGATGTTTTAATAGTTATTCCGCAGTCGGTCAAAGAAAAAATTCCCTGAAAGGTGGTGGTTTCTTTTTTTAGTGCACCGTGAAGAGTGAAGCCTATGGACAGGATATCCTTAAATTCGCCTCTCGTAGTGACAGCATTAGATGCCAATTATTCTTACCTAAGCTAAAAACTATTTAATAAATATTGCCCTAATCTCTTACCTTGTGGAGGTTAGAGACCTAGGGAATGATGTAGGGTCTAAGGCGATATCTAAAACTAGATGTTCAGTTGTTTTCTTTTTTTCTTGAAATGATTTTCTGACTATAATATTATTTCAGGAGTTTTCTTCGCCTGTAACTCCGTATTGCTATGTGGCCAGTTAGATCTGCTGTGCTGTAGTCTCCGCAACGTCAGATACACAGCTTTACTACAGAAAGGCGTGGAACATGGCGCCATAGCGCGACTTTACAGCGATATAAAACTCGACGAGAAACATAACTATTTATATAACAGCAGTGAAATGAGTAACTCTTATTACCACTATGATGAAAAAACAGTACGTTTATTAAATACTAGTTTTTCGTCCATCGCTCCGCTAGCATGGTAAGCGGGACGGCGAGACCTAATAGGCCTATATTTGTCTCCTTAGTGCAATCTATGTCTTTTACTGAATTTCATCGAAATTTGTTCAGTGGTTTAGGCAAGAGAACTAACTAAATAACAGTTTTTATTTTTTAATCATTTTAAAATTAAAATTTGTTGTTATTTTTTGTACATATAGGTACCTATATTTAATTACTTAAATTTATTTCTCAGCACACTAATTTCGAGGGCAAATATACACAGTTTGGTGAGTACAAAAATTTATAAGATAGCAAATCACATACTAACTTAAGTTCTGGTAACTGCCACAAAGGGCTAAGACATCCTAAGACCATCGACTACGTGCGCAATAAGGTTCAAGATTTAAATTATTTCACGTTCGTTTTGAATTAAGTAGAAAATATGTGTGAAAGAAAGAAATGAAGAAGAAATGAATGAATTATTATTTTTAAAATAATTAATTTTTCTATGAGTGAATAAAGTATACCTAGTATTTTACAGTGGAAGGCCATTCGTGCGCTGGTTTGAAAAAATCAGGTTCATATCCAGGTTTTGCACCTCTGACATTATGTCCTACCGCTTGTTGACAAGGCAAAGGAAAACGAAATGAAGTAGATTTTGAAAGACATATAACATCCACTAATCCTAATTTTGCCACCCAGCGTGGCAGATTATGGCCTGATTCCCCTCACATAATTATTTTAAACTATTTTGTTTTTGTACTCATTTGAAATTATTTATGTTAGACCACTTTAGCTCTAATGTCTCTTAATATTTCAAAAACACGTCTTGAACTAGCAGGGGCGGCCTTAGCCATTGCGAGGCCCCGGGCAGTAGATCTTTGCGAGGCCCTTGTCCTTTATGGGATTTATGTGAATTGAAAATATTTTTAATGACGATGCTTGACGAGAAATGCAAAATTATCAATAAATAAATTTAGAGTTTTAAAATTGTATATTGGAAATTCAGAAAAGTTAACAAGCACAAAGAAGATAAATTTATTATTTTGTTAACATTTTTAGTCTTCGCGTGACTTGCCATTATTCTATAAGCTCATTTTGAATATTTTTTCCGAGATGTTGATATTATTTTTATTTCTTTAGAATTCAAGGGCTCGGAGGAGCCCGGCCTTTTGGGAGACTTGTGTTTCTCAGGTTCAACACGTAGAGACCCCTGAGATTTAAGCGTTTAACATGAAGCATCAGCCGGGATCTATCTCCGAGTAACCCATAAGGAATTGCTCAATATGATCCGGATAATGCGTAGGGACTATGGAAAATATAAAAAACTAATAGGGTTTATGGAATGGAGTTTGGATGGGCTACAAAACTGGGCTATTGGATAAGACTATCGGGCGTCGTCCGCCTTCTCAACAGTCTCAGATTCAATATTTGGCGTACGGTTATTCGCCTCCAACTCGCGGTATAATGCCTCGGGCACAGCATCAGCGTGGTCGGCTAAAGGTGTCCAGAAATGTGCACCGGTTTCACCATCGCAAATGCTCGTGAGCGGGTTTCCTCGTTATTTTGCATATTGAGCATTTCTACTCTTTCAAGCTCTTGGCTCTTGCGCTCCACTCTGGAGGGCCAAAGACTTCAATAGATGTACAGCTTTTTTAAGCCAGTCTCTAAATTTAACCATCCGTTCACACCCGTTCTCTAAATTTAACCATTTTAACATACGATCTTTTTGCAGTCGACTAGATTAATGAAAGTTTAAATATTTATCCAAGTTTTCCCAATTGAAAACTTCTGCACAGGACCTAATTTTTTATATTCTATTCTGAACAATTGACAGAGAATGCAGTAAATGGCATATTTTGTTTGTGAATAAATCATCCAGTGCCTGTCTAGTTTTTCGACATTAGCTAATATTTTATTGTAATGATACCTATTCAATGAATGAGTCTTTCTGTATAGTGAGTCTCAGTAACAGCCCGAAGTTGAGAAGTTGGCGGTGTTTCACCCACGTGCCGAGGCAGAGCACGTAAAGCCGTCGGTCCTGCGCCTTAACTCTCACTGGTCGTGTCGAGCAGTCGTCCCACCGGAGTATGAGAGTGATAGGAATAGAGAGTGCACTTGTGTCTGCGCGTACACTTGTGCACTATAATATCTCCTGCGCAGTTGGCTAGACTCAATGAGATTGGCCGCTGTGGCCGGAATCGGCTAGGAGAACATCATCATCATCATCAATGAATCACCGTCCACTATCGTTTGAAAGAAATTCTGTCTTAGAACGGATTAGACCTTTCAATGAAATCTTAGTTCGGTCTGCATTAGTAATTATTGATGGCCATAAATTTGGGTCATTTCAAGGATTCAGATTTTCAATGCCGCCACTGGATGTAGACATAGATTTAGATACGTATTTTTGGCTGGATAGTGTTAACGACGGCGGCGGCGGTGGAGTAACAATGATGTTGCTTACTCACTGTTGTTGTTGAAAAAAATATTTCAACTGGGTTAGGGTTAGAATGCAATAACATGTCACTTTCAGTCACTAAAGAGTATCATGGACTTAGAAGCTTCTTGACCATTGTCTTTTATATATTTGTACAAATACACATAAAGATATTCTCTAAATGCTTTCTTTTGATAGCTTGTTGCCTTTTTGAACTATCGAACTAATTTTTTCTACTGGCATCACAATCGGCCAAACTCAGTTTGAAAATCTTTTTTGCACATAAAATTAATAAAAAAATTACAAGCACTTTTACGCAATTTTTTTACTAATTCACTTACTTTACTATTATTACTTATACTTGATAGTGCAAGATTTAATATTTATAAAGGTTTATTGAAAGATATGTGATATGTGCTTGTACTTGCACGTTGTGGGATTTTTAATACACGGTGTAAGGCACGAGATTCTAATACATTTGGGTTGTTGTGCGAAGGCGCGAGGCCCCTAAAAGCGCGAGGCCCCGGGCGATTGCCCTGCTCGCCACCCCCTAAGGCCGCCACTGTGAACTAGGTACTAGTCGAAACTTTTATGTAATTTACTTTCAGACATCTACAGTCCACAATACGACGAGGCCACCTGCGACGCTCTGAGACAATGTGCTCGCGTCTGTCAGATTGTGAACCAGTTTAAGGAAAAGTTCGAAGCGTTCGTGTCGCCTCTGCTCGTGCTGCGAGTCGTGCAAGTTACACTATACTTGTGCACTTTGCTGTATGCCGCTACTTTAGTAAGACACGTTAACTAATGAATTGCCAAGTGATTTGTACATAAGAAGCTTTAAATTTTAATAGACGAAAATAAATTTTAATTTGAAATTTCATAAAAAATATCTGAAAATTTATACTTTAAAAAAATATCGACTTTAAATGTTTAACTGGTACTTTATTGACAATATGGAGATCGGGTATATGAGTTCAGGAGCGCGCGTTCGTATATAAGACGCCAAGTTATATCAGCAACTGACTCTCCCAGAATTTGACAAAATTATCCTTTTGGGCCAGAAGGATAATTTTGTCGAATATGTATGTACCTATGTACTATATACTATGTACGTGGTACGTACGTACGTCTATTTCTTTGTAACCACAAAAGGTTTGGTTGAATTGAGCTGTTGTAACCTCTTTGATAGCACAGTGGACCTTGGAGCAACCCTATGGTTGCTGTGGTCTGCTTCGGCAGACCTGCCGTCGGGGCGTCGTAGTTGAAGCGTAAGCGAACCTGCGACGCCCCATTAAGACGGGGGAAGGTTTTGTTGGGTTTTAGTGGATAGTACTGGCTTTTCGAGCCGGCGAGTCCCATATAACCACCTGTATGTCTACAGGTGGTATGCGTAAGTGCATTTCCCAACATAAAAAAAGGGTAGGATTGTAGCAGGTGCAAGTATTTATATGATATGGTCTCATTGATAATTATGTATTATATGATTATTTTTTGCTCCTTTTGTGTTTTATGTGTTAGTTTTTACTTGATTTTTTTTGAAATTGACAATAATTTTAAAAGATTATCCTTGTTCAAGAAATTCGACATGATCACCGTGGAGTATTTGGGCGCCGTAGCTTTGGATATTTATGTGTATTGTTACTTTGGAAATCAAATAATTTTGCAGGTAATAATAATAACTATGTAATAAAACTTTACATATATGGTCGATTAAAAACGTTAAGTTATTTAGTGTTGCTATGTTTATTAAATAATATTTATAGCATAACTAAATTCATGTGGGATAATTAGTAAACAAAAAATTGTAATAATTATTATCGATCAATTTCTCCTAATATATAAAATAGAAATGTCAGTTTGTTCTTTTTCCACACAGAAAAGGACTGATGATTTTTTTGATCGAGGCAAAAGTGACTTATCCTTTTGATATTAGTCTCCACAAATATAATCGGACTTATAATTTTAAATAAAACTATCTTTTCGGATTTCTTCGCGAATTTATTTTGATGTTTGGTTCCCGACGTTTCAAATGCTTTACAGCAATCCTGGTCACGGGAGAGACTAAGGTTTAAGATGTCTCAAAAGCATTATACAATAATTATGACAATTTTTAGTTTTTTTTTTTAATATTAAATATAACAGCCTACAACGTCACAAACAAACATTACCTCTTTATTATATTAGTATAGATAAGATAGTCCAAATTTCATTTTGAAGGCTGATCGTGTCTCAACAGCTGCTTACCAGAGCACTTGGCCGGCTATGGGAATGAAGCCGAGGCGACTCCTACTGAACATACTGTTAGCTAACTTACGCCCCACGGTGGTACGCGCGGGACGTTTCCTGCCGATGAACCTACATACTTTTGTTGTGGTAATTTTGTTATCTTCTTTTAGTCATTTAAATTTAATTTAATAATTTCTTAGGTATTACAATACAGGCTACATCAACTTGATAGAAATATTGTAAATTCTAATTAACTACTTTAAAAAAAGATTATATATACTTTAAGAAAAGGTATTGGTCCCGCTGAGTTTCTTTCGCCAGTTCTTCTCAGGAGGCTTCTTCTTTCCGAACTGGTAGTAGACTCATGACGTTTAGTAAAAAATTGTAATAATTTAACGCTGAATAAAATATTTTGATTTAAAATAAAATTAGAGGTGGCGAAATGAGAGACAGTTTTTTTTTCTTTTTGGGGTAGATCAAGATTTTTTTAAATTTGCTAGGAAACATCAAAAGCAATGAACTTAAAAATGTTCATAAATTTTGTGCGATCTTTAAAAATGAATATTTTAAGCTGTAACTTTGAGGAAGTTACAAATTTTTATATACTAAATTTTACCGCAGCGAGAAAAGAAAATATCCATTTTTTTTAATTTTTAGTTCATATGATCTTTTATCCTTGTTTATTGTCAGGCCATTTTCGACAGAATGTGGATGCTAACCACCAAACGAAGATACTAAAGGAAAATATTATTTTCCTTTAATAATAGTAATTATTATTTAAACATTGTATAATTATATTTTCAAATTTCTGTTGTATCACAAAAACAAAACATACTATCGCTAGTTGTATATAATATCATATTTTAAATAATTATAATAACGACATTTTGTTTCAGATTATAAGAACTTCATTTTCATATTACACCCTATTAGTAAATGTCAACGAAGAAAAATAACTCAATTTGTAATTTCACCGCTTTTATTAAAAAGATATAGATATGGCAACACACTGAAATATTCAACTAATATACAAAGGTAAAGAAATAAAAATGACAAAGTATTCAAAGTATTTTATTTATGAAATAATACAATTCTCTTGTTCATACATCGACAGAACATTGACACTCGGCCGCGGACGCACGGCTCAGTCTGGGTCATGAAAAATATAGACAAGGAGTCCAAAATCCATGAGGTTTCATATGAAAAATCCGTTCGCAAGCATTTTTAATGCTATAGTTCCAGAACATGTACGAGTAGCGTTAGTTTACGTAGTTATTGGTGATTACCGAGTGAAATTAGTTGTATGTCAGTAGCACAAAGTTAGTGATCAAAACAAATCAGTGTGAATTTAATGAAAGAAAAGAAAAAGAAATATTTAATATATTGAAAAAAATGGTGACTTTTAACATTCCTTATCATACATTTGAATATACCGGGAATTCCCCTCTCCCTCTCGGGACATAGCGACCGCAGCGCTCTCTGCGCGCCCACTATTATTTTTTCAAATTTTTGGGACAACTTTTACATTCAGAGATTGGACTCCTTGTCTATATTCTCTAGTTTGTTGTGAAAATAAATAAATGAACATTTCCCGCGCTTTTCGATATCGCCGGAGTTCGGATACACGGACCATGTGAAGTTACTTTAAACACAATAACAAGAGAAAATATTCCTTAAAGACAAACCTTCATACAACGGTGCAAGTTGCAACGATAAATTCATTTTTTACAAGCTTTTATTTAACTTGCAATGTTTCTCTCAAACTAAGTGACGTCATTCTAAATCCAATATGGCTGTTTCCCGAAGATTTCGGAGTATGTTTTTTATGCATCCCCGTGATATAGATATCAAATGAAAGGGTTTGCTGTGAAGAATACAGATAGATAAAAAATAAAAAAGAGATTTACTTGTATATCTACAAACAAAAAAAATGTTAAGGGTAAATCGCGGGACACGTTTTTATATCATATAAATTGTGTAATGTAATAAATTGGTGGGTTTAATTTAATTTAAACTTTTTGGAACATTTAAATAAAAGCATGTTTTTAAAACTATTTTCTCTACAATTATTTCTTTTAATATATCACGCCCGACGTGAAAATGTCAACAGGTCGAGCTGGATAAAACCGGTATTGTCAACGGGTGTGGTAAGTCAACTATGTCCGACTACTAACTATTGTTTCACCGTCGTATGAAGCTTTGTTTCTGTAGGGATACTCACTGACTCATGTGCTTTAATCTCAACATTACTTCATATTAAAAACGATTAAAAAATATTTATAGTAGATATTTAAAAATTATACAGATTTAATTAAACACAAATCAAAGAAATTTAATAACATATATTTATACTTGTGAATTGTTTGTCATTCAAGTGTTAATTCTTTCGTCATGTTTTTTTTATAAAGACAAAGACACTTTGCCATCGGCAAACTTAAAAACGAACTCCCAAGTATAAATGTGATCTACTTATATATATATATATATATTTACGAAAACTCTTAAAACGGTCCGATTTTCAAATTTTAAGTGAAAATTAACGCGGGTTGCGGTGACTCGAAATTGCGCAAAGCACACTACGCCATACTAAGTGTCCAACCATTAGAGGACGGTTGACTTAATTTTGTTTACCAAACTAGTCTTCACGGTACGCTTACTACTTAATTATATAAATGTTTATTTTACTTTAATTATTACATTCTCAATGTCAATTAACATTTGACGCGCGGTTTCAGTGCAAGTATCCGATCAAATAGATAGAGCAAATTAAAGGCTACTAGGGTCGGTAGAGTCCACTGAAACCACGCGACATCTTACAATATTGGGTATTGAGTACGACACAAGCGTAAACAGGCATACGAACGAACATACAATACATACTAGCATTCACACCTTACACGCTCTACTTGGACTCCCCGGAGCCGTTATGATATAATAGAGAAAAAAAATTACACGCACTGGCAGCTTTACACACAATCTCATTTGACGGCTTAGCCTATTTTGACATTGACATTCTTTTTTTTAAAGGCAAAGGCATCAAACAGTAAAGCCTCATCTCTTTACATTATGTTTGACAGATTGCGTTTTATTGTAGGACATTATCTGATGTCATAATAAAGAAGGCCGTAATTAGGTCAAAAATGACTTATTAATATGCAGATTCGGCATCATCAAAATAAAATGCTACTTGATAGTCTTGTGTTACTCATAAAGCTTTAAGTCTACGAATCCGGAGATACCATAACCATTTTCATCGTAAATAAGTCAAAACTAGTAGTAAATTTGACGTATTAGTGAGACAAAACTTAAAACATCTCGAAATCAACTTTGACGAAGTCACGGCCTTCTTTCTTATGACGGCAGTTATGTTGATCCCTATGGCGCACTAGACGACCGCGACCACGAACACAGACGCCCGCGACCAATATTATGTTACATTCAGTATCACGACCACAACTATCATATGAACAGTTGGTCGCTGCGGCCATGGTTTCGCTCGTGGTCGCCCAACGCCTCCAAGCTCTAAGTCCAACAGCTCATGTCTACTGAACACAATTGTCCAGCAATTGTAGATCGCGCGAGCGTTAATGAACTTAAAAAATATTGAGACGCTTTATAATTATTATCCTGTATAGAAAACATACAAAAATGAATGGAGTCGAATGGGGCTAACGTAATTAAGGAAATGATTAATATAAAAAAAAAATCTTCGAGATCGGCAGAACGTAAGTTTGTATGATATTATATTAATAATAATTTAATTTAATTGAAAAGCTGTCAAAACGAAGCAGGTGAATGTAATATATAGATAAGCGTGGGAATCCATGCAAGTCGTCGACTTCGATGCGATGGCGGCGCACGGGGCTTAACTGCGGGACGGACAGAAACGTTAAAGTGGATCTTATTTGTATTACACATACGGTCGAATTTGAAACCATTAAGGCATGTTTATTAATGGTAGAGTAAAAATAAAAATCATTGTAATCATTTTCATTGTATGAAGCTCTATTCCCATCGTTATAAAAACGACTGTACAACATGCGTATTAAAAACCATAATCAAGTAAACAGGACACACAAAAATCATCAAAAAAAAGTCACAACACACAATTTCCAAGCGTGACAAACAGACTATTAATATATAATTATAATACTAGATCACATGAAGTCAATGTGGTTCAACATCGATATTAAGTTTATAGTTTTTAAGTTATAAATATGGTATGGAGTTTTAGTAGTGAAGTCACATAACATCTCATTCTTTTTACTCGATTTACCTAGTACGTTAGAATGTGTTGGCCTCATATATCTCTGAATAAAAAATAAAGAAAAATAGTATCAATAACTATTTTTAATAACTTCAAAAAGTACATTCAGTACTAATTGTTTACTTTATAATAATATATTTTTGAACTTTATAAAGAAATACTTTGTATTAATTCATTAAAATGAAACAAAGGCCCAACGATACAAACAAACTGTCGAGCCAGCGCCGCCGCCATATTGTTTTATTTAAAAAAAAAGAAACTTTAACAATTAATTCTACCTGTTTACAGTGCTCTCATTATAACTGTTCTGAAGTACCCTGCAAATGAATGCGCAATAACCTTTAAGGTTTAACAAATTTGAATGATGGAAGTTCTCTATCTCGTTATATTATAACTCTAGCTTCTTTCACTAAAGCCAGAGTCTTAAGTTATCATTTAATGCTATACATATATTTAATAAATATAAATGGACATCAAGATTTAGAATATGTATTGAACACCAATGTTCTGCAATAACTATCTCATGAGAACGTGTGTCGTCAAGCAAATGCTTGGAACAGTTCTCCTGGTCAGACTTAATATGCTATTTTAATACAAGTATTGTATATGTAGTTTGGTTTCAACCATATATATATATATATATATATATATATATATATATATATATATATTTCTCATCAATATTAACATTACATAGTCGTACCCACCAAATATTTTAAACCCTACACTATATAAGAAATAAACCCTTTCAGCTTTCACTCATCAGAAACTACAAGTCCCTGAGTACTAAAAATATTTAATATAACTCTAAGCCGTCATTAATATGATATTTGACATATTTTGTTGTGCAATTAAATGCCTTATTATGTATTCATGTATGTTATAAGAGACAAAATACAATACAAAATTGAAAAATTGTTTGTTTTACAATTTTCAACAAAGTAAACTTATATCTTTGCAGAGATCCTATAAACAATAAAAGTTTCACCTGCTCTATAGCGCATTCAAATTGGAGGGCATAATAACCAAACTGACATTCTACAATTGCCGTCATGAATAGAAAAGTAATCTATCATAATATATATGAAATGACATAATTAATCGTTACATCACACGCTTTTATTGATCTTTCTGGTTTAAAACTTATCTATATTTGAATGCGATTGTGTTTAATTTTGATTTCATTATAGAAAGTCATCTTGATCTAAACTCACGCCCCCAAAGCTGTTCTAACCATAGACTACATGCTCCTCATGATATTTTATTTCTTTTTTATTTTAATATTAGCTAATATAGTATTGTATTATTTTATAATAGTATTTATTAATATAAAAGGAATGTAAGTCTAAACAATTTCCGGACACACGCTCAAAGCGAAATGGCTGACATCTACATTGACATTTTTATTTGCAAATACTTTATTATGCAATCAGATTAGCGAAAGTACCTATAGTAAGAACATGACCTATGGATTTACAGCGCGAAACATCGTGTGCCGTAAGTGGACATACATTCCGTTTAACTAAAATTTTATTTCTTTCTACAACACTATATACTTAATACCACAGTATAAAATTCTATATAGTATAAAATATTTCATAGTGAACAACTTCGAAGTTATATAGCCATCTTACAATTAGTTAAACGCGTCAACTCTAATGTCGTCTCCCGCCTGTTATATAAAAAAGTGAGCAAGTCGGGAGCGCTTCATCCGTCCCGCACGATTGATTATCATGTCTAACGAAGGCGTTAGATGACTATATAGATTATTAAACTGTGTATTATATACTGACTGACTGTACATTATATAACACTACATAATACTTACTTCTTCTTATTCTTGGGTTGCGCGCGCGGCGGCGTGTTGGGGCGGCCCATGTTGAGGCCCGAGTACAGCTTGCGCTTGTCCGCCGGCTTCAGAATCTGGAACGAGCACATCAGCGTCTCGTCCACGGACATGAGGGCGCCTGGAAAATATATTTAAATATGATAAAAACGTTTTTTATTTTTTTTATCTTATATTGTATTCAGCCCTTTTTTAACGCCCCACTGCTGGGCACGCCTCCCTTCAATGTGAAGGGGATCAGGTCATAGTCCACCACAAAGGCCAAGTGCTGGTTGGCCTTCACGTCTTTCGAAAATTTGGAAGGTTCTCTCAAACACGCAGGTTTCCTCACGATGTTTACTTTCACCGTTGATCAAAGGTGCGACAGCTATTGTAAAAAGTCAATTTCTCTATGGAGGCAGTCTCTGTCTATTACAGAGAGAAAAGAAAAAGTGTGTGTGTACTTATGTACGTACGTAAGAAGTTATAGAACAAAAATAGCTAAGGATTTCATTCCGTATGTCACAAATCTCTGTTGGTAAAAGGAATGCAGCTAAATTCATCATGTCGCTTTTTGGCTGTCGGTGTGCGCGCGCATTGTTAAAACTTTACTCTCATAATTTTTTCCAAACATGCCAAAAGAAGTATAATTTCAAAAAATTCAAAAAATTTCGAGCGACATGTAGTAATAATATAATTATGATGACAATTCACAAGGTTCGAACTTCATGCCAATTAAACATTTGAATATGCTTTAGATGTTTACTTAGCTATTTGTTTATAGTGACGATTGAAGATACAACGTTTGTGGAGTTACATATATCAAGTTTGTTTATTAATTCAAACTGCATACAAATTTCACAATATATAATTAAGAAAACTTGATATTCCTATAATAAATTAAACAAAAATATAATAATACTGAAGTCATAAAGAAAAATCTAATCAAGTCTTAAACATGGAAATTGAAAGTTTTAAAACAATCGAGTTCATCGACACTCACAACTAACAATAAATGTCACATTGGCTGCATAGTCTTATCACTTCACTCCTACTGGAGATTAGGCTGAAGCACAACTAACATAGAGGTACAGCGATAACGTGTTTCAAATCGATCGATTTTTCTATGTTGCGTTATGGAATGATAAGCACTAATCATTTTTGAAATAATAACGAACCTAAATATCCATAATTGGATATTGGCGAAGGACCATAGGCTACCTTTTGTCGGAAATTTAAAACTTAAAGAGGGTGAAGGTGAAGTAGGGTTAGGTTTGTATGAGAATCCATTCATTTCTCAAGTTTAAGCGTCGGAGAGCTTGAGTGTCGTAGGAATGCCTCATTTTATAAGTTGTATGAAGTTGTTTCTCAATCCTTACTAATGTGGTAAAGTACACAAGTAGAAATATAATAATACAAAAGCAAAATAAACCCACCAGCATTATCAAATTCGCCGCAGTAGTTGGGCGCAGAGAAGAGTGTAACGAGCTGTCGCTTCGCGAAGAACTCGTAGCCGTCCTCCACCACCTGATGGGCACGGCAGATCAGGTCGAACTCGTGCTTAGACAGGAACTTGCCCACAACCTGGAGACATGATAAGAGATTATTTTTAATTTGTCACTATCGTTTCCGCCAACCCGCACTTGGCCGGCGTGGTAGTCTATGGCGTGATGTCCCTGAAGGGAAGCCCGTGCCCAGCAGTGGGACGTTAAAAAAGGGCTGAACGCATTACTGTCGATTGGTTAAGATTATTATTGTATATATAGAATAAAAAAGAATATAGCGAAATAGCGCGAAGAAAATATCGATAAATTCAGATGTCTAAAACATAAAAGCAACTTAACAGCTTTAGAAGATAAGTACGTAACTTTCTCAGTGTAACATTTTATTAAAATATTCTAAATATAGCGAAAACACACATCACCATTGAGATTACAAGCAAAAATATTATTCAGTCCCTTATCAATAGCGATAGAAGGTGTTTTTAATACAGTACCCTCAGACAACATTTTGATTTGATTTCTGTATACATAAAGATAAAAAATATTAATAAGCCAAAAAATATTTTGATGCACTGTTTTAGTAAGAGCCCACTTTATTACTAACATATAGTTATTTGTGTTGATAAAAGCAGTTAATAACCTATTTGGGTCGAATAATGTGTGTGTGTGTATATATATTTGTTATTCCTTCAATTTGAAACGGCTTTGGATTAAATTTAATAAATTGATAGGTTTGGATTATCACATAGGCTACTTTTATACACCTAAGGACAATAAACAGGAAAATAGACACAAATCGATAACGTTACACGTTTAGATGTAACGTTATTGATTTGCACATATGAATTTTATTACAATAAATATGACCTTACTATTAAACTTGATCACGATAAACAAGTGTGAATACATTGTGTTATCGGACTTTCTCCATCACAATACGAGATTCTTCCGCAAACGTCGCTCGGACAAGGCTACGAGGCCTGAGATAACGCATTTGAATAGGTAAGTTGTAAACAAGTCGTGTAATGTGCTGATACGGTCTGATCACGCTCTCCCGATTCAATAGAGTGCATCAATACGCAAGATGGGCACACTTTTAACGCGTTATGATTAATAAGTGTAAGCTTTCACCCGTGGTTTTGTTTAGAGATTATATAATACCTAAATATATACCTATAATGTATATTGAAAATCTTATCAAAGGAAATCTACTGTTGGGGAAAATCTTTGTTTGGTTTACAGTATATATACTACATTGAGGCGCTAATCTAGATTCAATTATGTTTCACCAACGAAAAAGAGATTTAACATTTGCATTTTATATGTATCGATATTCTACGTTAAAAACCAAACAGCTATATAGGCAAACTAGCAGAACCCGCGGCTTCGCTCGCGTTAAAAAAAAACAAATTGTTTGGCTTTATATTGTAAGTAATTAATACATAAACACCCCCGCTCCCCCGCACGCCCTGCGCCACCCTGCGCTCCATGCGCCCGTTTACCATGTCGTGTAGGTTTTTTGAATCTCTACTTTACTCTGTTGGGTGATAATTTTAGAAAAACTGTGATACACTTGTCTCATAATTTTAGTTGAAAAGTATGTGTACCAATTTTTGAGTCAATCAAGTTTCACCCTCTTAAGGCGTTTCTTAGTAGAGAAACCGTGTCTTAATGGATATCTACATTTCGCAAAGAACACACCATCATCGTGTCTTTATGTCTCTAGGACCAGCGGTCAGTTGATATATCAGTTAGTCAGTCAGAACTTTGAATTTTATATGCATATAATAAAAAGATATGAATACTTTGAAAAATTCTAATGAGAGTAATAAAAAAATTACTAGTTATTATTCATTTTATTTCATAACTTGACTTTAATTTTCAACATAAAATTTTCAGTCGCTAATAAGTAAATAAAAGCACTTCGCTATAAAGTTTCCGAGAAATCTGAACATCGAGGAATTATGATTTTAATTAGTTTTGAATTGAAACTTGTATTGAGTTGGTAAAACTTAATTATAGTAAAATTTCTGTATAACAGTTCAGTAAGGCTTCAAGCGAATATCATAGATTGGTAAGGATCAGAGATTTGTTTACTTTTATGATTTTTTGTTTCATTACACACAACATGGAGTATCGGAGAATACTGCATTATTAAGTATTTTTACGCATTCTTTAATAAAATAAACTTTTAAAAGGATGATGGATTTATTATAAATAATGGCGATGAAGATACATAATTGATATTTCTAATTTCATCAGTGTTATTGTCTTCTATCCGCACAATATTTTCGTTTCAAAAAAATAAAATCACAATCAAGATTTATCAAAAGAAACTTCCTAAAACACCACTCACCTCTGTGCCGAATGTAAAGCTGACACCACGATCGTTCTCTCCCCATCCGGCCGTGTCCTTGTCCGGGTCGGACCAAAGCAGATCGCACAGCAGCCCCTGGTCCGGCACGTCGGTGGGCCGCATGATCCGCCGTATTTGTTCCATGGCTTGCAGGTCGGGGGAGAGGCCGCCGTGACAACAGAAGATCTTCTCGTCAACTGTAACGAATAGATAAGTAAATATTATTATTAATATAAATAAATTATATTTTTCTTTCATTAGAATGGAACGATTAATTTGTTGAATATAACTTATTATGTTTTATTGTAGACTACATGCATATATATATATATATATACGGTATATATATATACGGTGACGCATTTGTGAATTGGAAATTCCAATATTGTTATATCATGTAATATTTAACGGTAAACATTGCCACGGGAAAGCAAAAAGACTGAAAAAATGTTTAATTTAAAATTTTAAATATTCCCGTAAAACTAAAAAAGACTTTATACATAATAGGTATATGAAACATAAAAAATTGGATTGTTCTATAATTGTATTTTTTCTTAGAATAACTAAAAAGAAACGTTATTAACACACTGTCAGATAGATATTAAAGATTAAATCAAGGAAAACGTTCACCGCAAAATGAGTCAGTCATCGACAATTACAAATAACCTGTCCTATCTATATACCTACATATAAAATACATGTATGATCGTTTGTACATGTGTTTGTAAAATACACTTCACCTATGTTGTTGTTACGATTGCAAGAGAAACTTAGGTAAGTTGTATGAGGTAGTCTACACTCGCGTAGGCTTCTGACCTAGTAGCGTTCCGTTCCCAGTACCATCAAAGTATCAAAGCTAGCGCTCTAGCCGTATCTGATATATAATTTGAGTTATGTATCTAGAACCATAATATATAGAACCAAATAAGTCATTTAGTTATATGTTTATGTAAGTCACTTTACGATGTGTTCTATGTTTTGGTTAAGGGAAGAGTGGTCCGCTAGCCTATGTATTATTATTTATAGGTATTATTATAAAGGCCTTTGAAGTGACAAACTTCATCGTGCTGTAACAGCACAATGGATTTGAGAACAGATAAAGCTTGGCAAGGCAATGGTAGCCCAGTGGTAACGTGCTTTCTTGGGAACCGAGGTTAGAGCAGTTTTTAATTCCGGGTCTAATATTTCCTAAGAGTTTAATATCTACCCGGATATTTGCAGATGCGAAACATTTTAAACATGTTTACCACTTGTCTTACGGTGAAGGAAAACATCGTGAGGAAACCTGCAGGTCTTAGAAAATCTAGAAAGTTTTCGAAAGACATCTGTCGTCCGCCAACCCGCACTTGGCCAGCGTCGTGGATTATGACCTTATTCCCCCTTATAATGAACTGAGGGCTGTGCCCAGTAGTGGGACGTTAAAAGGGGCTGAATACATATACAATTCAAAGTTTGAGACAATACATAACCTAGGTACTTTCGACCGAAGTATCTATCACGCGAGTAAAGTCGCAAGCGAAAATAACAAACTATAATATCCAATTCGTTCACATTATCAATGCTTTCATAATTAGTAAACAAGTGCATCGTGTGACACACGGTTTAGTCTAGTCATCGGCGCCGCGCTATCACAACGTTATCCTCAAAACGTTTCACATTACGGGTGAACCGATCGGCGCGGCGCGGCGATAACCTTAATATGCCAATTGTCTACGAGTGTATCGTAATTGGGTGTTTCGAGCTTTCTAAGCTTCGGAACATTATTCTAGAAAATGCTAAAGCCCCCTTTTAATCTAAAGGCTATTTTTGAAGTTATCTCTTTTCGGCACGTTTGGAAAAAAAGATGCGCGCGCATACCGATAGCCAAAAAGCGACATGAAGTTAGCTGCATTCCTTTTAAAAACAAAGAGTTGTGACATACGGGATGAAATCTTGTCTATTTTTTTCTAAACTATTTTTGTTTGGCATAACTTCTTACGTGCGTACATAAGCACAAACACACACACGTTTTTTTTTTCAATATAAAATACAATATAAACAAATGAAATGTGAAGGATAAAAAAATAAAAAAAAATTAAAATCTTTGATATTTTTACACTGTAGGATTACAATTTGGTTAATGGACAACTTTTATATGATAACTAGCATCGCCCGCGGCTCCGCCCGCGCTCAGATGACCAAAAAGCAAATTCTTCGGTTTAACATATTAGTATACTCTTACAATGCAGTTTTTGTATTTTTCTCAGAAATGAGATATTTTCCCGCGGTAAAAAGTACCCTATATGTTGACCCGGATAACCAGCTATCACCATAACAAATTTCAATCAAAATCCTTCCAGTGGTTTTTCTGTGATGCGGTAACAGACAGACAGACAAAAATTCTAAAAGCTATAGATTCGGTCTCTGTATCGATTATAATGTGTAGTATATCAATAAGATTTTTCAAAAAATATTTAATGTACAGATTCGGCTCAGTTATAATTTTAATATATGTATATATAATTAAGTACTTATTATTAAAAAAAATAGCGGAATAACATTTCTCTTTTCGGTCCTATTTTAGCTTGTAAAGAATGCCTCAGAAATAAGATTCGACACGCTCTGACATTTATCAATTACAAAGAGCTTTAAAAATAGTAATAGATTTAAATTAAAATATTAAACACACTTATTTTTAAGGTAGTGAATGTCTCATATGGATTGAATCAGGAATGTTTCTATTTGACCATAACAGAGGTTTACCTCTGTCTTATCATTAAAGCAACGTGGTCGGAATAAAAAGACTTGCTATATACTCTGTCTACATTATGTATAACAGAACAAGTGTAAGACTATAAGCAAATAAACTCTTATAATTTTTATAACAGTGACAATTACCATAAAAAAGTACATTAGATCGACTCAGAACCGCATAAAAACGGTCGTTACTTACCTACGTCATTGCCTTAAGTCGTTTAGATAGACATTAATCTTTGTGCGACAAAGTTCGTAAGCGAAAGTCGATGTTCGAGACCGTCGAGCACATACACTTCATTGATCGAGTTAACGGAATAAGACTGATTGCGGCAAACCATATTATTGTTGTTCATGCTTGTAACACAGTTGTTAAACAAAGTTAATTGTTACGAAAAATTTAAGTTTTTTATAAATAGTTTCATTATTTATCATTTATTCGGGTTCATCCTTAGTTACGTTTTGTCGTTTAGTATAGATTTCTCACAGTAAACAGTAGTAAAAAGTATCCTATCTGTTGACCTGGATAACCAAAATAACCTATGTCTTGCTTGAACCAGATTATTAGGCATATATCCCTTGGCTTAAAACTTAAAATAATTCTATACCTACATATAATAAAAATTTGAGTTCGAATCTGTACATTAAATATTTTTTGGGCAATAGTCATTAGTATCGATACAATGGCTTAATCTATAGTTTTTAGAATTTTTGTCTGTCTGTCTGTATATTATCTGTTACCGCATCACAGAAAAACCACTGGAGGGATTTTGATGAAATTTGTTATGGTGATAGCTGGTTATCCGGGTCAACAAATAGGATACTTTTTACCGCGGGAAAATATCTCATTTCTGAGAAAAAATACAATAACAGCTTTGTAAGAGTATACTAATAGTATGTAAAACCTAAGAATTTGGTTTTTGGTCATCTGAACGCGGGCGGAGCTGCGGGCAATGCTAGTTATATTTACTCAACTAGCATTGCCTGCGTCTCATCGCGACTCATCCTCGCTTCCCCTGGCGTGCTTCCCAATAAAAACTTTCATCCCCATTTTCACCCCCTTAAGGGATGATTTCCGGGATAAAAAGTATCCTCGTATCTATATCGAAAATATTAATATGGGACTAATATTACTAATATGTAAAACCTAAGAATTTGGCTTATGGTCATCTGAACGCGGGCGTAGCCGTGGGCAATGCTAGTTAGCTTTAAAACCAAGTTAATACGGTATACACCTAAACAAACCAATAATATACCTATACTTAAATTGAAGTTACATTAACAATATTCAAATATTAGGCAATAGTAATAAAAAATAAATCAAAAAAGACATTTTAAGCAAACATTAGAAGAGTTAATTCAAGAAATTGTCTAACTTCAACAAAATTTACTTGTCAAAGCAGTTCCACTTGATTAAATTCTGGAAGAATTTATGACGTAGAGAGCAATGAACTCGAATGTTGAATAAACTTTTGGAACTATATGGAAATAAGAACATAAATTAAAATTAAAGAAAATGGTATCCTTAGAAGAAAATATTACAAAAGTTAATGTTTTTTTTGTAGGTTACGTTCTCCGAATAATAAAATGCTTATTAGTGAAATTGCTTTTCAAGATTCTACTTTGTTTATAAAGTGCGTTGTCCTCTTTCTCCTGGGACTTTGAGGTACATTTTGTTGCTCCTACATTTTTTCTAATAGGTATATATTAATATTACTACATTATCTATACATATAATAAAACAGTAACTTAGCGAAATCTGTAGATACATGAAATATATTTTAAAAACAATGACTGTAATGTATTGTGTACATAATGTTATAAGACCCCTTAGAAAAAATAATTAATAAAATTTTGTCTGTTAGTCTGTGTACGTTTCACGCAAAACGCACTGAACCGATTTTAACTAAATTTTGTGTAGTTGTTAACTTATTTCTCGACTCAACATTTTTTTTTAAAACTTATTGATTACCATATCAGAAAAATAATATATTGGAGGTATAATTTTTCTTCCCATTTAAATAAAATTGCTCATGAGTTATCCATCAAAAAAAATATTGAGTATCTCATCCTTTTAAATAAAGCTGTCAAAATACGCGTGCGAGAATCGAATTTGCCACCTCAGATGCTGTCCCGCTGTTACTCTTAGATACTATAAAAATATTTTAGGTTCGCTTTTAATGAAAATACCGCTCGCCACTCACAATCGTAATCAATTTAAATAATAAAGAATAGTGAGTCAGAAAGATTAGCTTCTAAGTCAAGGTTCACTACAGTTCAGTGTATTTTCTGGACAAATGAACCTTGCTAGTCATAGCTAATACTAGATACCTAGTGTATTCCTAATCGATACATATAATAAAATTCTAACTGAGTCGAATCTGTATATTAAACATTTTTTAGTAAATCTTATTGAAATAGTCATTGTCATCAATAGAGGTCGAATCTATAGTTTTTAGAATTC